CATTTCCGTTCTGTGACGTCGGTCAATGATCAATTTTTGTGTGTATACCTTGTGAGTGCATGCAAATGTCGCCAGACTCCTCCTGATTTTATTTGCATTCATATATTTATCTTTTCATTGCTGCCGACGACGGCGACAGAATCTTTACCGTGGAATAAACCTCATTTTGTGTGTTTCAGATCATAATTTTTTCCGTTGTCGTTTTGTATGCGTTGTCAATACATGTATTTTGCTGTAAACATTGTTTCTAATTACCTCCATCACGGTCAATTGCCAAATGACATTGTTCGCACTTTGTATAGTGCAGACATTTTGGCGTGGTTACAGCTGCCATACACAATACGGCTGAGAATACACTGAACTTCACTGTAGTCGTCGTCGTCGTCATCGTCATCGTTGCTCGTTCTCACTCCAACAATCAGTCATAATGCAATAATAAACAATTGCCGTTGTTTTACGATCGCACATTCAACAAATGAATTTATGGGACATCATAAAATACATGAATTTACAATATTAATTCAGTATTAAAAGCCATTCATGTTGCTCTCTGGTTTTTCTGTTTTCTTTTTTTTTGAATCTATGCACAGACAGTGTTGAAACGTACGATTAAAATCGCATCGCATTTGTACGAACTGGTACTTGCAAACGTATATCAAATCAATGTTCGCATGTGTGGTTTTTTGTTTGTTTGTGCGTCTATTGCCCGTTTAGTAAATATTAGCAGTTGCGTAAAAAACCAGTATTGGCAGTTTCGAGCTGCGACGGCGGCATAGTACTACTGAGCCAGTAGTCACAAGTAAGCCGGAATTATATCATGATCATGGAATATTGCTTCGGTATTTTTTTTTTATTTCTCATTGGCCCCATAAAATCGGTTTGATGGCTTGCAAATTCCCCGACACTTTGTCAGAAAGAGAGACTGAATCGGTGAAAAGACAAGCATTGAGAGTATTCTTAAACAAAGCAGCGAACTAGACAAAATCACTAGGGAAGTAATTGTATTCCATTTTACATTCAGAACAATTTTGATAAGTTCCAAATCAGAATCGTAAACACGTACAGGTATAGACTTTTATTTGCATTTGTCCATATTTTGTTTCGGCGAAAAAAATTACTGGGCAATTTTAGCAATTGCTTCCACATGTGCAAACAAAACAAAAAATATTTACATAAATTCGACACACACTCAATTGAATTCGTATTGACCGTATCGAATTTTTTTCGTTCGTAAAATATGCCATGATCTGTCTCAAATCAATATCTGACTATAGTCAGTGACTGGCTGTGATACTAGTAGACTGATTGACAAAAATCAATTTCAAGCTTCAATCAGACTTTGGGTGGGGGAAAAGACAGTGCTGTCTTAGGCTGTAGGCGAATGAGGCAATCACTGAAGAAAAAATTGCGAATATTTTGCACGTTTACAGCGGCACGTCAAAGTATCGCAATAATTACTATGGTCAACAATCACTTGGCTCATTGTTTCCATTAGAGTGAAGAATACACGCGGTTGAACACGACTCTGCCACCGGCGCAACATTTCTGCTTAATTCACATCAATTGACACATGAATCGTTTATCGGAATGGTTAAAAGCTTCGACTCAATCTCGACAATTTCAACACTGGCAAAACTTTCATCGAATGGAATTCTACCAGCGATTGGATAATGGAAGTTTTTTTTCTTCTGATGAAAGACCGCTTTTGTTTATTTTTTTTTTCTTCTTTTTTGTTCATTATTTCAAAGGTAAACACCATTTCAGCAAGAAAATATGCCGAAGAATTCTTTAGTGTTTTTTGAACCATTGTTTCTATTTAAAAAAAAGTCATTATCTATGATAATATTGAAGTGAGTTGCTTCAACCGAAAACAGATTGTTTGCAGTATGATAAATTCCAGACTAGCGACGAAGAATTCCAAGAATCTCACACCAATGGTATGTCATTTTCATTCATTCATTTATCCATTCATTTCATTACGACGAAGAAATAAAAACAAATCACATACCAAACTTTTGAGCTGGAACTCTATTTTTTCGTTGTTTATTGCTGGTGTTCGGTTCAATCGTGCGTCGTATGTAATTTCACACACGAAAAAATTTCCACCAAAGTTTTTGCGACATTCTTGAAATACTTGAATGAATCATCTTCGGTTTAACTCATTGTTTTGACACAATTTTCAAGATAAACACATCAGGGTACCATCGAACATTTATCTGTTTATGGAGAGCAAAAGATTTTTTTAAATCAGTTTTTACGGCTTTTTGAACTGCATAACAATTATTGTTAGTGCAGTTTATCACGACGCGAAGGAAGTTCAATCAGAACCTTGGTGCTTATGTTCGCGGCCTTTCGTATCACGAAACCTCGGATAGAGAGAGGAGGGAGGTATGTAGATAGAGAAAGAGTTAGGTCGGTAGGTAGAGAGAGAAATGTCCTTTTCCAAATGCCATCAAACTTGAACTTTTCCTTACAATTTTGCATTTTGGCACTGTTTTTGCCACCAAACTCATGAAAATCTGATTAATTTGCTTGACACGAACATTTTTCTGCTTTGAAATTGACACCCTTCATCGAATCATTCGAATTGAAATGAAGAAATCCATGACAAATTTTATGAGAAACAATTTTTCCCTTCGAAATTTTATATAGTATTTATCGGCAATTTTTTTTTACCTATTCGTCAAATCAATTACCATCATGTTGAATGTGATGAATAAACTGAATGTTTGAAATATTTTTCAAATGAATCAACAATTTTTGCCGTGAAAACTGAACGAACAACACCAACTTGATAAATTTAGAAGCGAATATGTTCAATTATTTAGATTATATTTCAAAGCGGTGAAATCACAAAGACTAAATCGCCAAACGACTGCATGTCCAATTGTCCATCATTATGATTCATACTTGCCACATCAAAAAAATGGACGAATTTAAATTGGTCGATAAATAATTATCATATTTGATTGTATTAGAGGCGAATCGAGTGACTCGATTGTTGTTGAAAGTGATTGTTGTTTGTTCCAATGCATGCGAGTATTGGTATAGATAGGCAAACAGTGGCTGTCGAGCTCAACATCGCAATATGATTACATTACAAAATGGTATTATTATTTTCAATTTTCCAACCAGCTATGCCACTTCTTTGCATCTCCATTAACCGAAATTCGGTTTCGCTTTCCAAATAATAATACGGTAATAGATTCTCGTGGTTTATTTATGAAGTTGTATGAAATTGCTAATTTTGCACGTCACTTTTAATTTTCGGGAACAAGAAAAGTTAAAGAAGAAGCCTGAAAAAGTGACGGGTGAAAGGAAAACAAGCGAATGCCATCGTCGTCGTCGTCTCAAAAAGAGTGTGAGGAAATGTGTAGTCCTTATTTTGCGTTTGACCCGGTTTTTGGTCCCATTCAACAAAAGAAGTTGTCGCAGTTTTTTGTGCGCGCCAACTTTATTACTTACGCCACACACACACACACACAGAGAGAGAGAGAGAGAGAGAGAAACGCATACACATACACACACACGCCGTCAGCTTTAAATGTGTTTCTGTCGATTTCAGTGGAAATCATTTTGTACGCCGCTTCTGATTAAGAGCAACGAAAACAATCATGGGAAATGCATTGCGTTCGATACATTAATGCATACTGTTTAATGGTAGCGGAAATATTATGAAATTCAACACAAGAAATTACGGGGTTCGAGTTTGTGAGTCTAATACTGAAACCGCTGGCGGAATGAACGTCACAAAGTGAAAAGGCGAACAAACGAAATAATATGCAAAACCACCACCAGGTATTGACATAGTGGTGTGTATCTCATTCGGTGGAAGGAAAAAAAGAACACACAACAAGACTACCATAAAACCACTTTGGTGGCTTGCATTTTGCCAATAAGGATTATCCGCTCGCGATGCGGTTTCGAATGTGTCAATGTTTATGTGCATCGCGACCACCGCGTTTCGTTTTCGTTTGGGGTCTCACATACATGCACACGTACACACACACGAAGACACACGACATTGGCACTATGGTTGTTGTTTTTTTTTAAATGTACAATCAAAGCCCAACCATATGGTTTTGTTTGATGCCACGAAACGAAATTTATTTGGGGCCGTTTTTCCATTTCAGCACGCGATTCATTTGCTCCACAAAAAAACGACATCAAATCATTTCCACATTTCTCACTATGTGTTGAATGTGTGTGAGAATGTGGCTGGCTGGCTGTTTTTTCTGTTGATGTGTTAAAATAAAATACAGCCCCTTCCAATTTGCATCGTGTTTTTCACTTTCTGCATTTTAAAGGATTTTTTGTTTCTTTCAACATTTCGTTAGCTACTCGTTTGCAGCATTATGTGAATGTATGTCGATTGGTGTGGTGTTGTTGCCGCCATCGTCGTCGTCGTTGTCGTTATTTCGTCTTCTTCTGCTGTTGCTACTACTTTGGATTTCATTAGGTTTTGCACTTGATATCCGTTACACGGCGGTTGGCGAGCGAGAAAGAGAGCATTACCGTGTATGATCCTGATATGGAAGTGCATACATTAAGTTTTAATGTAGTGAATATGATGCGATCGCATTGAATCAAAGAAGAAGAAAAAAAGAATACGACGAAAATGAAAATTGGCTACATTTTGGCGCTTGTATGCTCGCCTACGGACTATTCCACCAAATCACATCAAATGTGAATCAAAACCTCTTTCACAGATACATACACGCACGCGCCCACTTAACCAATTTTCAAACCGAACTAACGAACAAAAAAAAGTCGTACGGCAAGAAAAACGGCAACCCGTCTAAAGACACACGACCGGACCGCAATCGACGTCTCGAAGGATAAAAGAGTGAGCAAGGAGTGCAAGCGAAACAAGTGAGGAAGAGAAAGATAGAGAAAGAGGGAGCGTAAGCGTGAGTGCGAAGCGGTCACCCCAATATGAAAATTGAAAAATCGTGAAAATTCAAAGTGCAAAATCACATGTCCAAGTAAATAGAAAAGTCAGTGCTTGTTTATCGTGTGGTGAATGAATAACACGATTCATTTCACTTCATCGTTTCCAATCGTGAAAATTGATGTACGATATTCAGTGCAAGTGTGTGTGTGTGTGTGTGTTCGCGCATTCTCGATTTTCAAAGTGTTTTAACCGATTTTCCAAATCAAGTGGAAAACCGCTCTGTGTTTGAAATCCCGTTCAAAGTAATAACTGATTACATTTTTTTCTCTATTTCTTGCTGAGCATTTCATTGTTTTTTCTGCGAGAAGTTTTTGAAAAAAAAACCGCACATGCAAAGGCATCCGAATGAAGTTTTAAAGGAAATAAAGACTCATTATCACTTTTAAAAAGCGATTAACACGTCGCTAAGTTAAATTACCGCAAAGGAAATACTTGTTCACTGTGCTCTTTTGTAAATCAAAGTGTCGGTTTTTGCTTGTTTTATTTTTCTCTCTTGACTCTGTACTCTGTGCTCCGCCACCATCGTTCTCTCTCTCTTTAATTGTATTCAATTTGTGGTTTGTTAAATCCAATCGACGGTATATAATGTGGTGTGCATTTTTGTACATGTGAAATCGAACAATATTGGTCGTCAAGGATTAGGGGGAAAAAAATACAGTGCTTTTCCATCCACCAATCAAATGGAGACAGAGGGAAAAAAAACATAACGTTGGCCACAGTGTGTATCGATAGTTCTTTTTTCTCTCAATATATTCACATGAACTTGAGAGAAGCGATTTCAACCGTAAATAATTAATTTACAATTCTATCGAATATTCAAGTGGAATTTCGACGCCTAATCGAAGGCTCTAGCTAAGTCAAATGGTCATATGGGGTGTTTTGTTCGCCAAGTGTTTTTTAGACATTGAAAAACCCTTAATTTTTGTTTTGTCTTCGTTTTATGTTAAGCCGATGTCGGGTTGAGCATCCTTTATTGGTCGTGCTATTTCCAATATTTCGAGAATCTTTTCTTTTTAATTGAATCGAAGAGATAAAAATCATTCGTTTTTTCCTCGTTCTCCTCTGATTGGATCGCTTTGGTAAATACGTAATTTCAAGTTGAAAAGACGCGAAAGTGTCCATTTTCATTGGCTCATATTTAAGACCATAAGTGACGGTTTTCTGAAGCGCACAGAATCGATTTGGTTACCCCCGAATTCCCACAACGGCAAAACCGATTCAAAGTCGAATTGAATCGAATCGGTGACATCCGACACGTTGGTTTCGAATTGAAAATAAGATTGCATATATTTAAGCTATAAATAAGTACATCTCACAACATCGCTATTGAGCGAGTGAGCGAATGGGCTAAGTGAGTGAGTGTGTAGGACAGAGCGAAAAATCAGTAGCAACAGCAACAGAAAGGGAAGGAATGTACTTTGCGTGTACGATAATGATTTCCCTTCAATTACAACATTTTAGTGCATCAACTATGTCCCGTATGGCAACACACAGCTGAAAAAGCACGCCATAAACTAGGCAAATGATAAGTTTGTTACGATAGAATCGACGCGAATGGAATTTTAAGCGGAACGACGAAGAAGAAGAAGAAGAGAACAGAGGGAGAGGAGAAAGAGTGAGATTGCATTATTTTCCTTTCCATAAATCACTCGGCTCCGGTGAATTTATCATTTTGAGTGTTTGTTTCGAAGTGAATCTGAAAAAAAAATTGAACAAAATAGAAATAATACCTTTAAAGCACACGCCGATTGATCCTAATCGCCGATAGATCGGTGTGTAATTGATGACAACTTAACAATGGTGTTAATTAGACACACAAATGCGACGCAACATGTCGTTTCGAATTAAATCAGTGCTGAAAAAACAATTCCGGAATTTTGTAACGTATTTCAAAAAGAAATTGTGATCAAAGAGAACGAAAAAAAAAACAACAACAACAACACAAAAACAATTTGTTCTGTTCAAATTGGCATTTGTTTTGGGGAGTGACATGAAATGCATGCCATCGATCTTCATCGGAATTGATTAAAAACGGACACCTTGCGCAACAAACAACAGCAAAACTATCGGAAAACCAATGAATTGAGTGAGATGTTAAATACTTTCCACTGCAAAAGATGTTCGCTATTGTCAGAAAGCAGCCATTCGCATTTATCTTTCTGCTGTCATGGTGAGTATTCCTGTTGCATATTGCAGCCATTTTCAAGCATTCGGATTTGAATTTTCTTCTTTGTTTTTCTATTCTATTTTATTTCTATTTTTTTTTTCAATAAAATAATTTTATTTCAATGACCTTTGGGGTTACCAGTGATTTCATTCATAACAGGTGTAATTTAGAGAAATGGATTTAAATGGATTATAATTAATTGATAACTATCGATCAAAGCATTGATTGTCCTTATTCGATGTGGAAGATCGAAAATTTTAGCTTTAATCTTAATTCTGTTTTTATATTTGAGTCGTAAAAACGAACGATTCTCTATTTGACGCAGAACCAAGAAAAAAGAGTATTGTTCTGACACTTTCGAGTCAGCTGACTCGGTAACATAATGAATAAAAAAACGTGCTTCTTTGAGCATTTTTCCGTCGTGCTATCTACATGGAAGGCATCAATAATAATAAGTGACAGAAAATGTGAAATCTCATGAATATGCACAAGTTGTGTGGGAATGGTGCGCAGCAGTTTTTCAAGCGAAATTTATTCTCGATAGATCCTTATCAGAAGCGATAAAAGGTGTCTTAGCTTTGATATTGCACTTGACTGTCCAGTGTCCACAGCCATTTGTATTGTTTCGCATTGTTTCCACATCGTTTCAATCCACACATTAGTTTCATATATTTCGATGCAGCTAATTGATGTGTATTAGAGACCAGCCTGGATACAAACAATTAAGATCCGTATCCGAAATATTTCTTCCTATATTGATTGCCTTACAAGTATGAAATTTTATTAGAATTGATGCCTAGTGATGGCTTCGAACGTTCGTTCGTTCGTTCGACAATTTTTAAAAATATTTTTTTGTTCGTTCGTTCGTTCGACATTCATTTTGTTCGATGTTCGGTCCGAACAAAGTTTTTTTTATTTCGAAATCTCCCGAATAGAATTGGTATTACTATGAAAAATTATAATAAAAGCTAATAAAAGCATGAGCTGTAACGATTACATTATAAATTTGATCAATATATCGAATTTTCTGATGTAAATTTTTTTTCATCGAACAAAATGAATGTCGAACGAACGAACGAACAAAAAAATATTTTTTCAAATTGTCGAACGAACGAACGAACAAAAAATATTTTTTTTAATTTGTCGAACGAACGAACGAACAAAACCTTTTTTTAAAACCATGTCGAACGAACGAACAAGCGTTCGAAAGTGTTCGACGGCCAACACTATTGATGCCTTACAAGTATGAAAAGTCTGTATTCGTTAAGTCTATATATCCGATTCTCTCACATTTGGCTAATCAAAGAAGGTGATTCGGATGCGATATTGATATATATCAATATTGAATATCCGACATTTGTGCGTATCCAAGCTTTATATCCAAATTGCTGCCGATGTCAGATTCCCATGTTATCCGTGCTGGTCTCAAATGCAAAACATTATAAAACAAAAATTCAATCAAAGTGGCTGAGATGTGCAAAACCTGGCAATGGATAATGATGTTAATATATGATGACCTCGTGTTGAACGATTCAATAAAAAAAAACCAAGTGCAGATGTTTTGTTACGATAGCGCGGCTTGTGCTCGAGGCAATTCACCCGTAGAAAAATGTGTGCTTTACTGTGTTATGATTAATAAAAGCCCATTTTCGGATAATTATATTAATTGCCATTTCTCCGCTTGTTTAGCACTTAAACGAGGGGCCGTTTGACAGAACCAATTGACCCCAGCCACTGGCAGATTCGGCCAGTGGCTGGTGGAGAAAAAAAGGCAGGAACGAAAGGAAAGATCAATATGTCGAATGTGAAAACAACGCCGCACACCGTGAAATGTGTGTTTGTGTGTTGAAAAAAGGCCGTCTGAAATCGATAAAATTGAAATTATTGGCACGATTTTGAAATTTATTTTTATACAGCAGCGAAAATGCACGAAGTCATCGAAGAGAGAGAGAGAGGGAGAGAGAGAGAGAGAGAGAGAAAAAGGACATAGTGTAATGAAAATTGTATGCACGACATTTGCGCGCTGTTCGATTCACCACTACCGCCACCGCCGCTGCCGCTTCTGCAAGAAAAATGCAACCGACGAACAAAAAAAAAACCATTGGCTTGCAAAGCACAATACACACATGAATGGAATTTCACCACAACGAAACAAAAAGCCAACGAAAATCACAAGAAAAAAAATTATTCAAAATGCACACAGGCACTGCCAAACGTCGCTTTCCCTCTTATCAGCCGAAAAAATCCAAAATCAAGCAAAGAGAACAAACAAACGAACGAAAAAAAATCTAAATTTCAAATACAACACGGAAATTGCCGGAAAGAATTCCGCATTTTACTGCATATTTTGTAACCAAATTACAATTGTGGTAAAGTAGCTAGCGCGCTAATGCTATCGACAAAACTAATTAAAAAGTTAAAAAGCAAATAAATCGCGCACTCTGTTGTCACAACAAAAAAAATTTCTCTCTCTCTCTCGTTTCGTTCGTTTCCGTTCGCACTCGTTCTTTCACTCTTTGTGTTTGTTTATTTTTCGTGTTCGACATATCATTCGACTGGAGCTAGTTGAATAAAAGTGAAAACGGCGAGCAAATCTGTTTATTTTTTGCTGGCGTTTCTGTTTCGATTGTCGTGTGTGAACTTTTTCGGTTGAACTTTTCAACGAATCCCGCATATTTTCATCAATTTAAACTTTTACCAACAAAAGACAGCAAACGAAAACCCGAATTAAAAAAAAATATCAAATGCGATGGCGACGAATATGGTTTGCTGATACCTTTACTTGTTTATCCCACATATTTTTTTCTCATACAGTTTCCATAACACTTACATTGAAGCGAAAAAGAATTACACGCTAAGGCCCCGCGTAGTTTTACCGGATAGTTATGTCAAGGGTGAGTTACCCATTGAATAAAAATTTAATGGACACATGAACAAACAGTCGTAATTTGATTTCGGTCACTATTGCCATTGCAGAAGTGCGTCCGCCATCGAAAAAGGGGTTGCCCGTTGTCGTTAAGTTTAGCGTATATGTTGTAGATATCAATTCGATTAACGTAGAGGATATGGACTTTCGGTAAGTGTCTCAAAGTGATGGATGAAATGGACCATCACATGAATTTGTTTCAATTTTTTTTTAACTAAATAATCCACCAATTACAGCGTAGATATGTTTGTGCATCAAACATGGAAAGAGCCTAGACTAAAACTTCCGAATGATATATTTGAAGAAGGTGACGATTATGTGACGCTTCCGCCCGAATTCTTCGAGAATTTATGGCAACCCGAATTGCAAATTCAAAATTCAAAAGTCGCAGGTACATCACATGGAAGAAACAAAACATCACACTTTCTATATTGAAATGCATTTCTTCTTGCTCTTTTCTTTTTTGCTTCATTTCTCTCTTTCTCTCTCTCTCTCTCTCTCTCTCTCGCAACTATGCAAATCGATTGTTGGTTTTTATTTCGTATAGAAATTGCGACGTTGACGCACAAATTTTCATCCGTTACATTATACAAAAATAAAACGGTACGTTATGCTGCCCGCATGCATGCGATAATTGCGTGTCAAATGGAATTTCAGTTATATCCGATGGATATACAAATCTGCCCCATCTATATCGAGAGCTGTGAGTATTTTCAGATTTCCGCTTTATTTTATCTATTTCGATTCTTTGAACTAATTCAAATTTTTTCTTGTCGGTGCTTCCATTGTATCTCCACTTCACTCTCGTTCGTTCGCTCAGTTTCATACCCAACGCAAAAAGTACACTTGCAATGGGATGGTGGTGATGGTGGTGTCGTGTTGAATCCAGAATTGAAATTGCTACAGTACAATCTGGGCCAGCCGCTAGAAGTAGCTGAAAGCATTGAATATATGCCCCAAAAGCACGGTAAGATCAATGACTGACGAAGAAAATGCAGTCAAATGCCAACGACTTAGACAGTTTTCCATGTCAATTAGGTCACATTTCTGAAGTTTTACTAATGATTGGCAATATCTTAGCGATTTACATTGCATGAACCATTGTTTGATTTATGACAAAAGCACAGTGGCTTACTTTGCTTCAAATGTTCCATTCGAAATTCGTTGTTAATTCAATTTTACCTCAATTTTAAAATAGAATCTATTAATAATGTACGAAACTTTAGACATGTTTATTTTTTGATTGGAAGAAATTTTCAATCTTCGAACAAAGAAGAAAATTTAATAATTTTCAAAGAAAAAAATTTCAAACTTTTTGACAATTCATAACTTATTCATGTTTCATTCGGTTTCGTTTCTGTGTGTAGGAAATTTTTCGCGTCTCACCGTAAACTTTCGCTTCGAACGACAAATCGGTCATCATTTAATTCAGACATTTGCACCGTCGACGCTGGTCGTAATGCTGTCGTGGTTTTCATTTTGGTTAGGTTTGGATGCGATCCCGGGCCGTGTGACACTGTTAGTAACATGCATGTTGACACTGGTCACCATGTTCACGGGTCTTCGTGCCGATATACCGCCAGTGGCATATGTTAAAGTATATCCCATTATATTCAATACATGGCCTCGGAACTTTGTCTGTTTGCACCACGATTTAACTCGAATTTTCTCTACCCGCGTGCACCGTGGGTTTATTTGTTTTGTTTTGTTTATTTGTTTTTGAAGGCGTTAGATTTGTGGATGGCTGGCTGCATGATCTTTGTGTTTGCAGCATTGGGTGAATTCGTAGTGGTTAAGGTCCTCGACGTTCAATATCAATACCAAATAAATCGTGTTCCAAAAGTGTTGCCAATGGTAAATGTCTGGTTATTGTTTTTCTGTCTACCTTCCTGGCCGGAAAATATATTGAGTCTGGCGGTCTTTTTTTTTCTTCTGTTCATTTTTTATTCGTTCTGTGTTTTGTTTGCAGAGAATTAGTGCAATGGAGAAAGGTCAATGTCCCACACTAGCGACTTGGGACGGTGGAAATGTTCGGTCGCGAAAAGCAACACCAACCACGGCTACAACACCGGGACAGGTAAGAAAAAATATCACAGATCGCTCATTGTCATATTGTTTGTTATTTTTTTTCTCGCAATTATGTTTCAATCATTCAGTTCTTACCTCGATTTCCGTGTTTTCATTTGATTTCGTTTCTTTTTATTCCCCCATTTGCTTTTCGGGTCGACAACGTCGTCAATATTTTTTCCCTTGTTCGGTGCTCCACTGAAATATTGAATTCGAATCGCGAATGTTTAATGTCTTCATGACAAAAACCAACAACAACCACCACCACCATACCATACATGTGCATATACCGTTGACCTTGTGAATTATGAAATCGAAATGCAATTGTTTGCTAACATCGGCTGATATTGTTTTGGCGCGGGTGAAACAAACAATCAAACACGACTGCTACCCTGTCGCCTTATTGCTGCCACCGTCGCCGTCGCTATCGCTGCCTCCGCTACTGCACATATTGCATTCCGGTAAACTTGGTTTGGGGGTGGGCGGCATGCTTATCATACTTAGACATCGTTGCAAGGCAATGGTGGATTGCCGGCAAAAACAACACGACGACAAAGTTTGCTTTCAGTAGCATGGACTGACATAGACACGGGTGTCGAAAAAATAATGTGGCGTGAAATCGATAAAGTTTCAAGGGTTGTTTTTCCCGGTTTATTTTTAGTATTTGTGGTACTGTATTGGCCAATACTGTTAATGAAATCAAACTACGATAAAAGTTTTTTCTAAAATACACACACACGCCCACACCACACCCACACACACATATTCGATTCTAATTCCGAATTGGTTGATTTCAAATCGGCAGCTTTCATGCCATGAGCTACCCTTTTGAACTTGATCGATGCCATGCCTGGTTTTCGTTTTTTCTTCTCTCACTCTCTCTCTCTCTCGTTTCTATTTTGTTTCAGTTTCCATTCAATATTCTGTATTTGTATTTCGGTTGTAATTGTATTAACATTTCAAATCGAAGCGCCTCATGCTTAAATTATTACATATATCCTAGAGTTTAGGTTTAGTTTACTTTAGATGAATAAGTGAAGTGATATTTGACAACAACAACAAAATAGGAAAAAATAATGAACAAAAACTTAAAAAAAACGCCTATTTTTCGAGCAGATTTTCGTCTTATAGTTCATATATATATATATATATAGTTGTAATTTAGTCGAATGCCAGCCCAGCCAATTAGATGCATACAGCGAAATCACTGCGTGCGCGCGCACTCTCTCAATGACAATTTTCCGTGCTTGAAATCAAATCAATCAGTCAATGCCCAACACAAGAACCAGCAAAATGAAATAAGAATGGGAATTAAATGAGAATCTTCCTTCTTAGGACAGGGAATCGAAGAGAAAAAAATCAGATTTGAACCGAGTTCACTCCTAAAACGTAGACATTCAAATGCAAAATTCTGTGGATGTTTTGAAAAAATGTTTGTTCCTTTTGAGAAACAATATAAATGAATCAAAGAAGTATGAATCTGTGAAATGGATTAAAAAAGCAGTTCGTGTTTTGAAAAACAATTGAAAAAAAAAATAAAAAATTGCGTCTCATGAGGGTAAATATATCGAAACAAAAGCAAAAGGGTATTTCAATTTGCAATTGAAAGAATCAAATCGAAAACATTTGCTCGAGCAAATTATACGGAGAACAAAGAGCTCAAGAGAATTATGAAACACTCTACGGACTAATCCTGTACTATAAGATAAGCAATTCGAATGCTTAAATAAATACGTCACTTGATTTTTGTTTTGTAATCAATGCATTGCTTAAAGAAAACCATGGCTTTAACCGTTGCAATCATCAGGAGATTTTTCAATAACAACAACGATCTAAAACCCATTTTTATTCTACTATGGCACGATCGCGATCGAAGACGTAGCAAAAAAAAGAGTGATTTTCATACTTGATTTTGTATAGAAGAGTTTGAAATTAGGAAGAATGAATTGAAGAAAAGAAGAAAAGAAGAAGAAAAAAATCTGTCATAAGTGAAAGCCACTATGGCATCCTTGGTCAGTTCAAGAGATGAAGAAACAATAAAATAAATAATTAAAAATTAACCAGTTTAAATGATAAAACCAAATAATGTTAGCTCAATATGAATAGTTGCTCTATTCAATCATTCATTTGCTCTCGAAATGCTCACCTGAATAGTTGTCAATCAAAATTACGATAATAAACCAAACAAACAACGTGTTACTTCTAAGCAACTACTGAATTAGACTATTGTGTTTGTGCCGACACAAACGAACGCTTTTGCGATTTAGATTAATTTCCAGCAACCTCATCATAGATTCAAATCTAACGTTCACTGAGCATTTTTAAGTAGCCGCTCGGTTTCACTTGTACATTTTAAATCAACGCGGCTAGACAGAAGAAAAACTAAACAAAAATCACACATTCATTTCGCTAAACCGTCGTTTCACTACTTTTTTTGTTTGTTTTGTTTTCAATTGTGTCGCTTTTTGTAAACGCTCATCAAATTGCACAAGTTCACCTTCAAGGTTTACGATAAGTATTATTTGCGAATTTTTGAACGCTTTTTTTCAATCAATGATGTTAACTAACGAATTTATTGGTTTCTTGACTATTTTTATACAAAACAAATGAACATACAACGCTTAATTTCTTTAGTGATTTTTAAATACTTTGATGGCTACAAATGTTGATTCGAATTTGGGCGTTCAAACAGTTTTCAGGCAAAATCGATCGATATGTGTTGCAATTCATCGACTTGTAAAGGATATGCGAAAAAGTGAAAGCTCACCCACAAATGAATCGGATTTTTTTTTCTCAAGAAGATAGAAATCGACAGTTCTATTTCAAAAAAGAGTGATTTAATGAGAAAAACCCAATGAAAATGGCAGAAAAACAATTAGTTTTCAGTGGAATTGTTAACAAAAATAATGAAAATTCATAATTTGTGAATAAAATCAGATTTTCCTAGCCCCTTCTTCGATATAATTGGAATGGTATGAAGAAGAATGCTAAAAAGAATGAAAACTGAGAACTCTTTTGAAAGATACCTCTTGAACAGTGTCGACGCACGGAGCTTGCACTCAGTGTTATTTGTAAACAGTTTCAAACTGTTAACAGTGACATTTATCAGTGTATCAATTGATACACACAAATTGTGTCACCAGCAATACACATTTGCTAATGTGCAAATCCTCAGCCTTGCCAGTGGCGTGAATTTTTTTTTTATTTATTTTCTAATATATGAGCTAAAAATTTCCGAATTTCTGTTTCAATTACCTTGAATCGAATATGATTCACACATTGAGCTGCATGAAATGCCGAAGAATAAGCCACAATTCGAATTCTGAATAAATTGTTCAAATATTGTAATCACTATTGTTGCTCGCACAAGCTGGAATGTACAATTTGGTGTAGCCAAAGCAAAATACCCATTTTTTGCTCTCTTTCGGATAATGAAATAGGTATAGTTATGTAAAGAATGTTGTTATTTTCTATTCAAAGCGAATGTGACATCGTTCGACCGTTTTGTTTTAAATGTTTGGTATTTGGAGTAGAAGAAGACCGTGCAAAGTGAAAAAAGTGCAGCCGAGGTGATGAAAATGGGTGTTTTAGCGATGAAACGAAATACGTCAAGAGCTATATTTTGTACAAACTGAATTGAAAATACGGAAGAAAAAGGCAGAAGAAGAAGAAAAATTACACGTACAAACTGTTATTATATGGATTTCCTGCTTTCGTAAATTCCTTATCTTGCCCTTCATCTACTTTCTTTTCAAAGCTATTCAACAACAACAACAAACGAATAAAAGAAAAACTACAACAACCCTTTATCAAGATAGAATATTACTAGGCAGAAAATAGCTTTAATATACATTTATAAAAATCAACAAATAAATAAACATGTTATAATGATTCAGTTTAAAAAAAAAGTTTAAGACGTTTTTATTTAACAGATTGTTTTTATATTGTACAAATTAGGATTTAAAAGAAGGAGGGGAAAATTACACGGAATCGTATAATTGGAATAGTATTGTGCATATATTAGCCTTCGCTCATGTCGTCAGATGAATCGTCGGATTTGGATTGCATTTCCACATCCTGATCATGTGTACCGTTTGTATTCTGTTTGATCAGAATCAAATTGTCGAGATCATCTTCAGAATCGTCGTCGTCATCAGCATCGCTATCACTGTCTGATCTACCCTCGTCTTTGTCTGCACTGCTTCCTGCTCCCGCTCCGCACATCTCGCGCAACACTTTCAGTGTGTATTTATTGAAGTCACACACTCGACTTAGCGCTTCATATTTCCGCGTCAAGCTGTCTTGTATTGCTATCAGCGATTGCTGCTTGAATACATGCTCTTTTGGTGCGTGGATGGTAAGTATTTTGGTGGCCCATGTTAAGTAGAATTCTATATGGTGACTAGCACTAACTTGCTTACTAACAAATTCCAACGTTCGTTCCACATACGTTTCAGGCATTGCGGCAACCACCAATTCAACTGCAAAAAAAAAAATAAAATCATAACAGTTCAAATACATCATAAAACACACCAATTATTTTTAACGGCAAATTCAAAATAACTCCAATTTTCGAGTCATTAAATTACGAAAAAGGGAAAGTTCATTAACGGCAATGGTAACAGCTCTATCATGGTTTTTGCCAACACGTTTTTTTTATTACTTTGGGGTATAGGTCAAAGTGCACGGTGGAAATTCGATTGACGAACATTGAAGCGAATAAATCAAATTTTACACATCCAACGAGGCGAATGATTTTTTGCCGATTTTTTCGTGGAAGAATTTTTTTCTTTCTCACTTTCTTTTTTGGGTATTCAAGAATTTTTATTCAATGGTTCCTTCTTTTCATTCAAAAGTCTAAAACTGCAATTTCACTTTTTTCGCCCAATTCAATTTCTTTTCAAACTCAGTTTTTTGTTGGATGAATTTCATCAATGGAAACAACATTTTTATGTGAAGAAGTGAAGAGGAAATTCTGCTTTTTTTTGTAAAATTCCAAAATTCTGCATCAATCAAATTGTCCCTCGTAGGTCGATTCCAAATTTCGACGCGTCAAAAACCATGTAAACCACCTTTGAAGGTGTTGTTTTGCGTCATTCATTATCACGCCAACGACGTATCGTTTTGTTGTTGTTATTTTTTTCTTCTCCTTTTTGTTTGTTTTCGTATGCTTTGGTTTTTATTGGTGGGTGGAAACCGAAATTAAAAATTACTGTGCCATCAAATTCCGGTGCATGCGATATCCGTGAATTGGTAAAAAGAGAGCCCGATACATCCACACGATAAAGCCATTGTGTTAAGTGTTTATAAGCGCCAACCACCGCCACCGCTTACCGCCAAATAAAACGATGTGAAAAAAAAGTAAATCGGCTTGACGCCGGAATGCTATGGCTTACCTTCGCTGTGCGGAATTTGTTCGATAATTTCTTCAATCAATTTGACCTCATTCAATTTCAATGCCATCAATAGAGCGGTCGAATAATGGTGTTGTTGTAGACATTCACGAGCCGCTTTTGGTGTCACTTCCAATGATAAATTCAGCGGATCGAACACGATTCCACGGTCAAGTGAATAAATGAGCAGACCTTCGGTGGTGGCGGCTGCCCATGATTGTGCCGTCGGCGAAAAACGCACACTGAACACATTCACTTCGGGCTTGAAATTTCGTGATGCCATATCACCTTTTTGTACGCCCGGCAAACGGATCGCAACATTCCCACCTTCCAGTTCGTCTCGAGCTTCGACCAGTGCCAAATTTCCGAATTCAGTTAGATTGCGGCGATTGATGTAATCCTGTTTTGTGAAGAAAAAATCAATTCATAAATTGAATACAGATTGGTTTTGAATCCAGTTCGGATTGTAGATGATGATTCATCGTCGATGAAAAACGAAAATTCAAGTCGGGAAATAACAAATCAATTCAAATAAAATTCAAACGCAATTTTCTTACATCAAGTCCATCTAAACTGTGATTTTGTGTAATTTCTAACTTCTTCAACAGAATACCGCCGGCCACATGATAAATGCACACATTTTTCGACTTTCCAGCTGCCAAAAGTGTTTCACCATCGGCTGAATATGCTATTGTTGAGAAATACCTAGGGTTTTCGAAGAAAAATCCGTATCAATTTCATGTCTTGCTAAAGAAATCCCATCTCAAAAATCAATCTCAATCCTTGATTCGGTCAACTCACTTGCTTTCTTTATTTTTATCGGCTGACGTCAGATCCACTTCGGAAACGGTAGCGCCCAAATCATTGCGTCCTTCAATACTGGCAATTTGTTGTGAATTTCTAACGCTGAATATTTGAATATTGCCGCTAAGTGCGGCAACGGCCACTTCTTCACCGTCTGGTTTAAAAGCAACTGCTGTGACATTCGATTGAATTTCAACGGTTTCATGATCACCGGACGACTCTAGACAGTTCCAAATTCGAATCGTATGATCCCATGATCCGGACACAAGCATCGATGAAGTGGCAACTGGAGCGAATGCCAATGAACTGACCGGACCTTCATGACCGCTCAGCACTTCCAATAATCGTCCCAATTTCATTGACCACAAATAAATTTCGAAAATATCACGTCCACCAGCCACAACCAATTCGCCCGATGCATCCAGTGCCAAACTGGAAAATTGAACGGGTCGCGGTGAAGTGAATGTACGGAAATTACGATATCTAACTAAATCATAGGCACGCACCGTGCCATCCAGTGAGGCGCTCACCAGGAATTTTTTATTGTTGCTAAATTCAAGGGCCGTAATTGCGCTAGTGTGTTCACTGAATGTGACAAAGCAAAAGCCATTGTTAACATTCCACACTTTGACTTTGGCATCTTCACCTCCCGTTACAATGGACTGACCATCAGGTGAATAGGCAACACAATTCATTTCGCTGGAATGACCCTGCTGCTTCATGATATACTGTTCACTTTGCCATTCCCACACCAGCAATTGGCCGAGATTCGACGATCCCAATGCAATCCAATCGCCAGTCACATTGAATACAGCCGTTTCAATTGCAAATTCCGTAATACTCAGCGAATGAATCAGATTCACGTCGGGCATTTCATGCAGGAAGAATGCTCCGTTTGAATAGGCCGTAATGAGTAATTTGGTTTTCTGATGATAGTTGGCAGCGGTGAGAATGGCACGTGAATCGGACTTTCGAACTTCATCGATGAGATAATGTCGAGCCAAGCGAGTATAGTTGAAGGGATGTGGTTTCAATAGTTCATCAGCAACAACCTTCCCTTGATCATCACGTCCAGTTATCGCAATACGATCATCTTCATTCAATTGATCACTGTCTTGTTCAATTTTTAACCCATCATTTGATTCTTCAAGCGATTTTTTTGTATCAATTTCATCCTCTTTCGTCTCATCGTCCTCTTCTTTGATTGTAAAATCTTTTGGTGTCAAATCTTTCAACTCTAAACTACATTCCCAAATGCATAGCTGTCCATTACGACTTATTGTACTCACATCCAAACTGTTATTCTCAAAGAAGCAACCGACAATCGAATCGGTGTGGCCAGCCAACTGGTACGGTCGGAAATTTTCCAAAAATTCAATAGCACATAACTTGGTGGTGTTATCTCTAGCTCCAATCGCTAACAGTCTGGAATCACTCGACCAATCGATCCATGTCACATCATCGTTAGCCCCATGAAAATGGCGGAACGCTTTGAAATTGCCATAATCACCGGATATTTCACCAGGCACAATATATACCGACACAATATGCGCACGGGCGATGGCAAAATATTTGCCATTCGGACTGAAACGAACGCAATTGACGGTCTCGGCGAATTTGTGCGTGTAAATCACTGTCTGTGATATCATACTGATCATTTGCGCTTCGCCTTTCTCATTCACCGCTATCATCAGGCATCCATTTGGCGAAATTGCTACGGCAGTGTAGTTGTACCGGCTGTCCAGCGATAAGGTTTTTGATTTGTTACTGCAATTGAAATGGAGGAAATTATTTTCATGAAAACTGAATTGACATAAGATCTTGGAGACCTTTCCATTGAGAGCTCTCGATATTTCACAGATACTCCTATCTCATATGTCACAGTACTCTATTATCAAGTCTACATTTCAAGAGTTTAAACACGTTGTGTTAACTATCGCATGTTCACTCTCGAATCCAAATCGAAATACTTACTTTTTCAAATCGTAGATTGTGATGCGATTGCCCACCGGGCTGATGATTGAATTGCCATCATTTGAAAATATCAAATTACCCTTGCGATAAATTGTTCCCAGCAGATTCGAGAACTAGTGTTCAAAAAAGCATTATTAAACTTCTTTCAAATGTTTGAAACCTATTTGAGTCTCTCAATCCATTTTGTTATTACCTTATACGAAAACTTCATTTTGTCTTCGTTCCTTCACATTCACCAACTCCAATGATAAAATTCTTCGACTCAAAATTTAGCGTTCCGACTTTCAGTCACTTATTAAAACAAAAACAAAAAACGTTGTGCCGCGGCTCTGTCCGCATGCAAAACAAAACAATGACACCTAACCTTCTTGCTTTTGACAGATGCTCGCACGTGCGATATGGAAGGCCATTCAATGATTACAGCGCCACATATAATTTCTATTTCGAACTAATGCTGAGCTAGAGTATAAATCGAATCTGGTCCAAAGTGAATCGTGAATGAGCTCGTTTGCAATTGTTGCATTATTTATTATCGAAGTTTCGATTGTAATCGCAAATTTGTCGATTTGTACATTACCTTGGTTGATCAAATGTTTCGCAAGACTTATACTTACCAACATTCAAATGGATATCACTATATGTTAGCTGAAAAAATGATTGGAAAATTGTTCCTATTTAAAAGGAAATTTTGGTTTTGAAACCAAAATCAAAGTCAAAACCATAGCTAAAGTCAAACCAGAAATGAAAACAAATAAAAACCGTAAAATCATTTCGATCGACACTACTTTCGATTGATGCAATTGGACCTGTGCGGAGGTATAGAAAAATATGTACCAAAATGCAAAAGCAGAGAGAATAATGAATGAAAATAGTTAATGAGAATCGAAGAGGTAATGCTAACAGATCGAGAGACTCAGAGACATATAGTGAGAGACCCAGAGATAGTGAGAGAGACAGAGAGAGAGAGAGAGAGAGAGAGAGAGAGATCGGGAGCCTAGACACAATTGAAAAAAAAATAAAAATAAAAATATCGACACAGTCAATTGTTTGTTGTTTTTTTGTTATTTTTTTATTCTTTGTAACAAATTCCAAAAAGAAAAAAAAATTCCATTGGAACATTTTCAAATATTCTCCGTATTTTCATTCAAATAATTATTTTTTTTCTTCATCTTTTTCGTAGTTTTTTTTCGTCTTTTCTTTCATTTTTAAATATGAGATGTTCAATTTATATGTGGTTGCAGTTGTTGCCTCTTTGATAACACAACAACTGCTACAATCACTCTAAAGATTCATATATATATATGTATATATATATGGTGTGCTTGCCATTTCTCTATATTCTTTTTAATTTTTATGTGTGTTTTTAATGTCTGTGTCTGTCTCTCGCTTAACTAATATTATTGATATTTAGTTTAGTTGTTTTTCATATAATATTTTCATTACGGTAAATTTGTTTGCCTTACTCATCAGTTAATGTATGTGTGTGTGTGTGTTTTTTTTTCGGTTATGGTTGATTTCAAGCACTGTGTACTATGAATGTTTGCAAAATGCTAACGCTGTAGTAAGCATATTGCAAATTAATTCACGACGATGTTTCACACTTGAAATTGACCCAAAATTATTATATTTTTCCTTCTGAACATTTATATATTTATTGTTATAGATTTGGTTGTTCCTCTCCATTTTGTTGTTTAAAATGTTTGTTAGGATCTATTGTTTTTATTTCGCCATCTTCTTGAAATGTTTTTAATTTTTATTTTTATGCTGTTTTTGAACTCTATGTTTAAACTGCTAGTTGGTTTTAGGCTGTAAATATTTTACACCAGTTTCATGTCAAACTTCGGAATTTCGGGGTTATTGTGTGCAAAAACCATATAATAATAATAAATTAAAAACATTTTTGGTTTGGTTCGTTTGATCGAAAAACAAAAACCAGAAAAATGTAAGAAAAACAAAGGCCAAACGGCAACAAAATCTATATAAATGTAAAGAAAGAGTCAGAGAGTAATTGCAAGCAAAATAAAAATTCAGGCAAAAACAAACAAGTTAAATGAAATGCAAAAAAAAAATAGAGAACAAACAATTGGTTCGAACAATATTAAAATATATGTACGATAATATTGGAATGTACAATTAATTTTTTCCTTCGGTTAGAATAAATTTTGTTGTGTTTTTATAAATCGTAATATATGTTCATACACATTTCATGTTTGTTTTTTTTTTTTTTTTTTTTTAATTTCTCCGCTTAGTTGTTGATGTTGTTGTTTTTTCTTCCTATTTATTCAACTAAAAATATCAACTAATTTCAATAATATTAATTGGTTCATCGTACATCCCCTGACAATTCTTAAATCTTAACGACTCAATGTTTTTGTGTGTAATGTATTTTGTGGGTATGTGGTGGTTTTTTTTCTCTCTCTCGCTAAATCATTTGATTTTTGAACATTTTCCGCGAAGTTAGTGGTTTCATTGTTGAAAACAAACAAATATTAAATTTATGGGGTGAGAGGCGGGGAGGAAAATTTATGTGAAATATATTAATATATGTTTGGTGATGGCTGTTTTTGCTATACTGCTTCTTCTTGATATAGGAAGAGAGGGAAGGGTTTTGTTTTTAAATTTTTATTTCGTTCTCTAAGTTGGTGTGTGTACAGGTGTGATCAAAAAATAATCAACAGAAGAACAAACATAAAAACCCCCACGCGCATTGAAAACACCGAATGTTATAGGCAATTGTTTTCAAGACCAAAACAAAACGACAAAAAAAAAATCGTTGATTCGTTCTAAATCATCGTGATATATTCTTCATTAATGCATTAATACATACATATATATTTTTAAATACATAATATGTGGTTTGTTTGTTTGTTTCATTTCTAATCGCAGATAGCACAGCATTGCATAACTAATAACTATGCAATTCTATGATATGATCGATTGAAGATTGTGTGTTATAAGTGTGTGTATTTGTCTTGTCTCGTTTCTTCTCAATTACAACTGGCATACCCTAAATAGCAACACATTTCGAACGATGGAACTGAATTGCTAAATTTTTAGTTTGTTTATTATCTCTTGTTTCGGTTTGCTCTTGACGAAGTCAGTCGATACGAAGAAATGAAATAGATAAAATATACATTGATAGCTAAATATATATATAGTAATAGGTATGGTAGTGAACAGAAATAGAATGGAAAACCGTTTAAAAATTAATGTGTGTTTATGTGTACGTGAATCAAGGAGAAGAGATGTTGATAATCGATTTTCGTTCATTGAGCCATGAAACGTGTGAATAGATGTGTGTGTGTATGTCTGTGCTAAAATCGTGTATTTTGTTGTCCCTCGAACGGATCAAACCGGAAAAAAATGGATTTTTCTTTGTGCAGTGAACACATTGTGTTTGATTGCCGCGCGCGCGTCGCTCAAACAAACTATGTCAATATCGGTTCGATATGAAATTGAAGAAGAAATACCCAAAACACATGTTCATTACCGAAGAGGCGAGATGCGATTTGGCTGCAAAGATCGTTGTCGAATTTAAGTACACCGCTTGCAAGTAAAATAATCTTCGACACAAATGACCTCGAGACGGTGGTGCGATATATGGCGACGAGAGGGAATCAAATATGTCCAGCATCATGACACAATTGTTCAGCTCTTGCCACCTATTAGAACCCCATCACCCACCCCTGATTCAGATGACCTGAATTTGATTCCGTGTTGTTGTTGCATCGAATGGACTTATTGATTTTCACATGTCTTTTGAGTTTGGATTCATGCGAGAGTGTGTTTGTGTCGGTATGCAATGTTGTGAATCGTTTGGCCAACGAGATGAATTTAAATTGTGCGTGCACTTTGATCGGTTTTTTCGCACAGATGACATGGTTGAACACATCAAATGTTGGAAATGTTTGAAGAGGGAAACAATCGATTTGGTTTTACCATCAATAGTTGTTTTTTTTTCTTCGGAAAATTGAATTTCAATTGAAATCAACCATGAATTTGGGAATTTAACATTTAAATTCAAAACAAATCGAGCAAAAACAAAAACCGAAATGGGACACACAAAACGAAGTGCAAATAAAAATACTTGTAAATGTTTCGTTGCCCATACTCAACACACTTGTTCATTTGTTAATTTGTTTGTTTTTTTTTAACTATACACATTTATCTTAAAACACAATTTTCAACACGTCAAAAGCAAAATGCTTCACGTATTTTCTTTTTTTTTTTCTTGGATCTCCCGACGAAGACTGACGAGTATTCCTTTAAATGGAATAAAATTCTGTTTTTTTTCTCTCTCTTGCACGCGCGCTTGCGTTCTCTCTTAATTTTCTCTCTGTCTCTCATTCTAATTGCATTGTTTGTTGTTGTTGTTTTTTTTGGAACTAGTTACTTCATTATGTACAGATATTAGGTCTTCTCAATCAATTTTTTTTTCTTTCCTTTTTCATCATCATCTGCATGATTTTGAACTGTTTTTATGTGTATGTGTCTGTGTGTGAGTGTCTCGAAAGTTCGTCGATCGCGTTGACGTTGATTCAATGTATATATGCGTTGAAAGCATTTGTTGGATTAAAACCAGACTGTGGTAGTGGTTCCTCTTGTTCAATTTAAATTTATTTATTTTTCGTATTTGTAATGATTTTTCATACGCTAACAGTATTTGCTAAAAGTATAATTATGATATAATAAAATTAACAAACGAAAGAAAATCTGTAGAAATCTACTCAGCTGTTTTTTTTTTTAAATTCCACTGTGATGTCACTTTCTTTCATTGTTTGCGTGTGTTTCTTTTGGGTTTTTTTTATATTACATTCACAGCTATACGGCATGGCGGCTTCGTTTTTTTGTTTTGTTTTGGTACGAACAGATTTTGAGCGAAAACACGTGATCGATGACGTTAAAAGTCCTAAACGAGCCGTATATGATCTAAACTAGCTTTGAAGAATTTCCATCGTTTTGACGGTTTGCCTCTCTTCTGCCGTGTGTAGCTGTGAATTGGTCGTTGATGGGCAACGAGATAAAAGAAATTGGACGCAATTGAAATGCGAAAGAAAATAAAATCACAATTTGTGTACAGTGTATCCCCAGGGGAATCATATTTGAAATTTATACATTTTTTTTTTCTTCTTCTTCAAATAAGCCAGAACAAACTTTTCGCTTTTAATTTATGATTTTGTTTCACTTCGGTTGGCGTAAAATACAAGAGTTTGTGTGTGTTGCTTAATGCAATACATAGTATGTGAAAATGATGACAAAACAAAAAAAAACTAAACGGTGAACAAATGTTTTCTTCTCTTTTGTTTTTTTGTTTGTGTATGTGTGTCTGTCTCTGATTAAAGGCTTTTCTTTAAAAAATGAATTTTGTGGTGTTGTTTTTTTTTATATTGAAAATAAAACTGAATCAAATGGACACTTGTTGATACATTTTTTTTGTTGTTGTTGTTGTTATAGTTGTAGTTGTGGTTTCTGTTGCAGATGATCTTTTTTTTTTATTATTTTGACATTTGTTAATTTACTTCTGTGGTTGTGGTTGTTGTTTGTTGTTGTTATTTTTCTCTCTCTGATAAAAAATAAATTGATTTTGTTCGCAACGCGCGGATGCCGAATACATACAGACAATTTACAATTTAATGTAAAGGTAGATGGCTACAATAAGTCCGTACAGACCCAATACTTCGGCGAAAATGAGAATCAAAATCATACCGACGAACAAACGTGGCTGTTGTGCTGTGCCTCTTACACCAGCATCACCAACGATGCCAATTGCAAAACCGGCTGCCAAACCTGAGAATCCGACCGCTAAACCGGAACCTAAGTGCATAAAACCTCTGTAAAATGCACGTGAAGACGTGAGACACGGGTTGGAGGGAGGGAGAAACAGTTTCATTAGTATTTTTGCAAATCAATTTTTTTTTCTTCGAGTTTATTTAAATTGGCAGCATTGACAGCGGCTTGACTTACTTGAATAGTGTATATCCAGTCTTAGCATCGGTCAGTTGACCGGCGATAAGTACAGCCACGACCAGACCGTAAATGGCAATAATACCAGCCATGACAACGGGAATGATTGATTTCATGATTAATTCGGGTCGCATCACTGACATGGCGGCAATACCCGTGCCTGATTTTGCTGTTCCATATGCGGCTCCCAAAGCTGAAAAACAACAGGAAAAAAAAAAACAAAGAATAACATAAAACATTTGTTTATTTAATCGAAACGGGGCAATTTTTGTTCATGCGGCACAAATGCACAAATGGTGCATCAGTTGGTATATTTCAGTTTATGTTGAGAATCACGCGCTGTTCACAAAATCCGTGCACAATTTTGATGTACACATGACTTTTTTTTCTTCTTGTTACGCGCACAACAACACAAACTGAACACTCTTACTCACAAATCAAACCAATGAAGAGAAGAAGAAAAATGAAAAATAGACGCAAAATGTATGTTGTGTTGTTTGTACTACAATTCAGCAAGGGCTAAATATAGATAGACTAGGAAATATTTTAAAATTAACGCCAGAAGAAAAGCCGTTCGAATACACGCGTCATTGTGAGAGAAAGACGGATGGAAAGCGTTCGCATTCTTCGTCACCTGTTCTGCGTTTCTCATCGCATGGCTTCATATGCTTCGGACGACTAAGACATTAAAATGCACTATTCAATTCATGCCAATCTGGACAATATGCATTTTCTTGGGAATTTTTTTCATTTCATCGAAATTCTTCGACATTTCTGCCTTCTTCTTTCAGCCGATGAGACAAAATCAAGGAAAGACAAAGTCTTTTATTCCAAAGTTCCATTAAGGCGTATACCAAACATGTGACCTGATGTTTTGTACTGTTTTTGCGCAATTGATATTCGTCTCATGTACTTCATACGGCACTTGACGGAAATATTCCAATTTCGATTCTTCATATTCACAATTTGGAATGAAAATAGTTGCTTTGCATAATTGTACAATGGCCCACAATTTGCCTTAGTTTGCCTTCAAGGAGGGAGTGATTTCATTTTAGACACAAATCACAAATTTCGTCACATATGTTTGTCATTACACTGAACATGATGCGAAATTTCAAAACTTAAAATGCATTTGAACATGTTAGAATTTTATAATGCATATTGAAAATTACATAGTTCATGTCTCGCTTCGATATTGTTGGTTTTTTATCGGTGATGGTTGCTGTTTTTTGTCATTCAAAGAGCATAAAATGTTGTTGGAATACACCCAAAACATTACAGTTTTAATCAAATAAAATGTGATAACGTCTATCCAACGTCAACAGAGAGATGAAAAAAAAACTCTTGTGTGTGATAACAGTGGACGTTTTCAATAAAAGAATAAGCCCATTTTGAGGACTATTTTTTCTCTGTCTCTCCTTTAAACCGGCTCACATGTTCAAATCAAATGCCATATATCAGGTGAAATCAGACAAAATTATCTGAATATTATTGGAAACATACGCACTTAGAGCTTGTAAATTATTATGCCACCTTGTAGCTACTTATCTGTCTTCAAAATCATTCTATGGGAACGTTTCAAATGATTTTTCTTGGTTTAACAAACCGTAAATTTCCGTTTTGATTTTCATCCGATTTTCCTCTCTCTCTCTCTCTCTCATTATTCTAAATTTTTCAATTTTCTCTCATTCATATTGAATGATTTACATCATAGTTTTTCAACTGAACATTCATTAGAACATCCATTCTATCATTGGAGAGCGTGAATCATGGGAGCTGTGTGTAATTGGGTGTTGATAGATGTTTGCGTTTGGTTTTGTTGTTACTCTGTGTGGATCGCATATGTTTAAACAAGAGAAAAATTGAGAGAAAGAAAACTCGCCCCCTTTTTTTCATTCTCGTTCTCAATTCAAATTGAATCGAATTTCGGCCGAATTTTTCCTCGATGCAAGATATCTAATCTCTTTTGATTTACAACTTTTCTTTGTTCTTCTGTGTAATCATTTTTGTGTGTCTAAGCGATTTCAATTTTACAGCGATTTCTCTCTCTCTCTCTCTCTCTCTCTCTCTCTCTTTCTCTCTTTCGTGCAAGTGCTTGTACACCATTTGATATGGCCTTGTATGCGAAACAGAGAGAATTTAGCGTCAAGATGCGAGAATGAATGTGTGTGCAGTTTGAAATATAAATTTTTTTCGTTCGTATTGCAATACACGCAGACAGCAAATTGGCAACGTTATATGCTTGTGAATGACATCGACAAATATGCGGAGACTAACAGAGAGCAAGAGAGAGAAAGCAAGAAAAGAAAGACAAGCTAAAATGATAGCCATTATTTTTCAATTCGTTGTGTTTTTTTTTCTTTTTCAATTCTAAATTTTCGAAACAAATTCGGATCAAATTCATACAACAAAGTCTCAATTTAAATCTCGTTCATTTCATTTAATTATTATCGATACGATACGCACCTCATATTCGATAAAAAATGACGTTGAATTCTTCGAAAAGAGCGAGAGCGCAAAAGAGGCAGCGAGAGCGGCAGCGCAAGAGAGAGAACGAAAAACTTGTGTCCCAAAAAAATTGTGACAATGGAAACGGACACAAATCATTGCTCATACACTGCAATGTTTTGGTTTCGTTTCGCACGACTTGTCACATACACTGTGTGTATGCGCTCTACCCGCGAGAAGAGAAAAATCGAAATGAAGAAAAGGAGTCGATGCGTGTGTGTGTGTGTGTGTGTGTGTGTGTAATAAAAGGAAACAAGAAGATGTTGTGCGTTGCAAGTTACAATCGGTTTTCTACACTTGCCGCATACAAAGTTGACAGAGAGACTGAAACATCTATCAACACTTGAAATCAAAATGCGATCATGTGACGTTGCCCCACCTATGAGAAACGCACAAGTACATAATTTCATTGACCAGAGCACAAGTTCATTTATTAGACTCTGTTGTTTTTTTTTCGTCTTCTTTTGATTTTTATGACTCAATGTGCTGTTTTCTTTCGAAAATTCATATTTCAAATCGAAGTGATATTCGAAGCATGCGACAAACCATAAATTATTTCTATGGAAAGGGAGAAAAAAGTTTTGGAGATCTATACGGCTTTGACGCAATGGAAGTCATGTGAGACAGCTCCAAATACACTTGTTGATAAATGAAATTCTCTTTTTTTTCCTGTTCACTCTATTTTGACGAATATGGTTGTCATTACGATGGAAACAAACATGCTTATCAAGCACTACTGTGTGCCGTCGGTGTGTGTATTCATTTACTTGTCATCATTTAGATAAACGTCGAAACACTATGTATAATCCATTCCAATTTGAATCATGCTCTAATTGGATTTCGATTGGATTTATGTTATGATCGTACGCATACACTCATAAGTGCTCTCCATTTGCTCGATTTACAGTCAATTACATTCGCTAACCGAATTGGAAAGAGAAGATTATCTGCTCATCTAATTTGAAAACACACAAAAATGACGACGACGACGACGACGACGATGAAGAAGAAGAAGAAGAAATCTGTCTTGTGACACTTGAGTGAAATACGAACAGTTTGTGACATTTCATCTCCTATACGAGCAGGTAATGATCGATACTAGTACTTGTGCTTAATCTGCACGTGTATTTGTATACGTATGAGAAGAAAAAAATCGCAATCGTCGTCGTCATTGTCGTTCTTCTTCTTCTTCTTCTTCTTCATACGAATGAGAGCATGTAAACATTTCGCACTAAGGCAACGAGAGAAAGAGAGGAAAAAAATGATAGCCATTCGATACTCGTTGGATTTTTCATATGACAAAAGCGAAAAAAATTAGTTCAATGCTCCAATCAGTCGCATTAGAATTCAAAGAAGTACGTATTCAATATAAATGTGTGTTTTTTCCCGATTCTAGCTATAAAAAAATCGCTTGATTCATCCGCTCATGACTATCGTCATCAATGTGACAGAGTTTCTTTCACTGGACATCGAAACCGTTTTTGTGTGTGTGTGTGTGTGTGTTTTGAATCACAAAATGTATGTTTTCTATTATAATTTTCATTTTTTCAATGAATTTTCGGTTGTTTTAATAGAAACGCTTATGTTTCAACTGGGAATTCCAGTTTTTATTCAGAATTTTGATGATAGTGACTGAAAATGTCAAGTTTTCATATCGAATATCCGGTAGAAACGTCTAAAATGCGATACGTAAGATGACCTGCATTATGTTTTCGATGTGTCCCATGACTTATGAATCTTCCAGAACTAGTTGATATTCATTATCTTGGAAGTGTTATTTTTTTTCAATTATTGAACAATGCCAATGAACCATTTCGGTTGAACAACGAAAAAAAAAACGGTTGAAATATCACAAAATTCATACGATTCTGTATTAGCAATTGTCAACGATCAAAATTGTGTCAACGTTTGCCAAAAAAGATGTCGATTCTTCGGAAAAATTTAATATTTTGTGTGCGATGTTGAAACGGAAAAAAAAATCTTCCATTTACAAGCGAATGACACATGACGCGTCACATGCTCTCTCCACACAAATCGATGAATCTGCTTAAATCAGCAAAGCGATTTTACACGCAAAGCACAAATGCACCACTACAAATACACATAGACACATAGCGCGAGCGAGAGAGTAAGAGAGAATCGAATATATCTTATCATTGAACTAGCTCTAGGCTACTAGTAAAATGAACACACCAATACATTAATTGAAAATGGCCACGAATACGACAGCAATACACATACACTCACATACACACACGGCCATCATTCCAAATCCATATGATTGTGATGGCGCGCAAGAAAAGGAGAAAATGTTGGTTTGTTGCACACCGAAGAAGCGAACAGAAAAAAAAATTATTTTGTCGAAAGAGAACGAACTCACTCATATGTGAGCAAAAATGTATGATGGTGTGTGTAGTTTTTTTTCTCTTCTTCTTCATCAATTTGGATTTGTGTTGAGCGCGACCGACGTTTCACGAACGGTCACAGCGACGAAATGAGTGACAGAAAAATCAAAATCAATGGCATACATGTATAAGTGTAAAACTCGTGACATATTTTTATTGGCCCGACTTTTGGACCGGTATGAAAAAATCTTTTGGAAATGTCTTGAAGATTGTCATCGAAGAAAAATGGCAAATCTTATGATTCGGATATACTTCATTTTTCCCTTTTGCTAGTTCAATATGCGCAATGTCACAAGTTTGGTGGCGAAACAAACTTGGCTCGTGTTCATACACGATGGATTTTTTTTTCTTGGTTGGGTACGTTTTTTTTTGTCTCGTCGCGAAATGTCAAATTCAAGAACCGAAGTTTGAAGAATGAAGTTTGCATTTAGAAAAATAAAACGAGATCACAGTGGGCTCGAATGGTATCGAATTCAACAACACATTTATGTATCCAGATTGACAATTTCATGTGATGGAACACCGTCTCTCTCTCTCTCTCTCTCACACACACACTCACTCATTGTGTGTATGTGTGTTTTTTTCCTTGTCTCGTGCTCGAGAAACGGGGGTGCAAAAGGAAATGTGTTGGAGCTCAACATATAGGACTCCGTAGTCCTTGGCCTAAAATCAATATCCAACAAAGGGACTTATTCTCTCGCTCTTGCTCACCACACAAAAAAAAATTCTCTCCTACAAATACATATGTTTATGTTACACAATCCGTGTGTACTTGTGACAGATTTGGAATTTTCAATTCCATCGACCAACGAGAGAGAAAAAAATAGGTATAATTTATCGTTTCAATATCGCGTGAATTGCTTTACAAACGAAACTAAAACAAAATCTGTTCATTGCAAACAACTTATTTCTTTGAAACATTGAGACCGTTTCCGAACTACTGAAATTTCAGTGCATATTGTTTTGTACAGTTTTTTTTTTCTTTTTCATTTCGTTCGTTGTCTCTCTCTCTCTCTCTCTCTTTCTCTGAACTTCAAATACATTGATTTTTGCTTCTGTTTTTCCATCGCTCTTCATTTTGTCTAATGAATTTTTTTTTTCGGTCTGATGTGCTGAACGAATCACACTTACCACTGAAGATGATAGCTGAAGCGGCTCCCATTACACCAAAGAATGGACCGTAGATTGGTTTATCCGACATATCCATATTTGCTGATGACATTTTGTTTTAAATTTAATTGCTTTTTTTCGACGAGAAAGAAAAAAATTGATTTGGTTTTATGCTAATTGTGTTTAAAACGACAGAATGTAATGTGTGACAATTCTGGAGAACTGGTATGGAATTTTCTTCGGTTTTTTTTTTTAAATATTTGGTATATATGGTGTGTTCGATGATGAAAACAGAACTAGCTTTACGCACGCACAGCACTAAACTAAAATGTCCCAGCGAAACACAGTCCAATATGATCTCACTAGATATAAAACGGTCATATGACACACGGCTATGTCACAAATTCATGCAACGGCCGCGGCCATTGGTTGCGTTTGTTGTGTGCGTGCAAAATATGACCAATGAACGAGCCGCTTTGATACACTGCACTGTTTCCATATTCTCCCGAAAATTGTTCGTGAGAGCCGCTGTGTGTGACTCTATGCATGTATGGTGTATATGGCAAGTCAATAGTTGTGCATGTGTGTATGTATTGTTATAATCTCGCATCAGCGCCATCGACACACCGATACAATGCGCGAGCGCTGTAAATTCAATGGTTGCGCTTGTGTTGTGCTTTCAACTCAATAATTGTTGTGTCTCATTGAATTGTTCGATTTTGATGGATCGCGCGCGTTGACACAATACATTCACCCGTATTGTGTCACAAATCGTTGGTCATATGCATTGGTATTCGATGAGAAGTGTGTGCGTGTAAAAAAGGGGAATTCACTTATCACCCGCTCACATGTTACTTGCGTCTAACAAGGAAACAATTTCATATCATTCGGATCATACAATTTTTTTTACTTCTTCTTCTTCTTCTTTGGATCGTTCCTTTCGTTCGTATCGTCAATGAATAAATTTTTATCTAGCTCCATGGGTATTAAAGAATTCATAAATTTTTCCAATACGATACAAATTTACGTCACACGACGTGATCGGTGCGACAAACAATTGTGCTGAGTAAGACACAATAATTTCGGCAACAATCAATGTGTGACACAAGGAGACAAGCAAGAGAGAGAGAGAGAGAGAGAGAGAGAGAGAGAGAGAGAGAGAGAGAGCGAACAATTATGAAGTTCAGTAAAAAGATTTACTGACAGAAGTCAGATATTTTTTTCATGTGACTCTCTGTTACTTACAACATTTTCTACACACCGAGAGCGCGGCCTATGAATACGCGCACGTAACATGTAATATATCGGCGTTTAGACACACACTGTCATGTGATTCATCATACCAACGCAAAAGTTTCGCCAACGATTTTTTGTTACCTTTCGTCTCTTTTGGATGGAGAAAAAAACGAATTTTTCGAAAATCAATTTGCATGACGATCGAAGAAGGAAAATGACAAGACATTGAACTTTTCAAAGAAGATGAAACAACAAAATTGTCAGAATACCTGTTGTCTCTATCAAAAGAATCGTTTCCCCATTAACGATTTTCGTGTTTTTACTCGTTTTCAAATCATTTCCAAAAGCTAATCCAAACTGAGAGCCAATCAATGCCAACAACATGCAATCGACTGAATACAAAATCGGAAAAATCGGTACTAGTCGAATGCGAAAAACGTTTCGGCGTGTTAATCGCATTTTATGACCTTAACTAAATAATTTTATGATATTGTGCATGATTTTTTCATTCAACTTTGTTGCGAACCAGTTGAATGAAACAAAAAAAGAAGAAACAAAATAAACACACAAAACGAATTTTGAAATTCTTCATTCAATTAGTAATGTCTGTGCAATGGAAAGAAGGAGAAATTTTTGTTTTTGAAAAGCGCCACTTTAACGGAACAAATGGGGCAAGTGATTAAAATGTCATCACAGCCAACTGCACGAATATCCACTAAAAATGCTGCTCTTTACATGTAATTTAATGGATATTGTGAATATTTCATGCAGCGCGTTTGTTTTTCAAGAAAATCTAAATCGATTTGTGGTGGTGACAACTAATTCGAATGTTATGACATAGGCATTGACCTGATAATTAGATTTAGTTCACGTCTATTATTTAGACATTTGTTCCAACAAATTTTCTCTCTTGTTATTTTTGCTTTATTCATTTCTGCCTTTCTTTCCTTTCAATTCAATTGATTGTTAATTTTTCCGTGCATTTTTGCGGCTGTAATTTGATAACACAACTAGTTCCGACTTGCATTCACGTAATTGAGCATTGGTGCACACATTTTCTGTTGAAATCGGTTTTATTTTTCGTTTGAAAAAGTTTTGAGTGTGGCATGACTTGCCAATGGTCTGGACTAAGCACATGTGACCAAATCGAACGTTTCAATTATATATGGTATACATGTAAAAATAGCTCGTTTTCTTTCTCTCTTTCTCTCTCTCATTAGGTCAACTTTTGTTGCGTCCAGGTTTCTCTAGGTCACAAGCCAATTTCATTCACGTGAGATGAACGAAAAAATTAGCACGATGGAAAAGAACGAGAGTGAGAGAGAAGGTGGGCGTGAGAGAGAAAAGAAATAAATGAAGAAAAAAAAGAGAGAAAGAAAAAGAAGAAAAGTAAGAAATAGACAAATTAAGCCAAAATCAATGAAAAAAATCCAGTGAGAAATGCTCGCCTAGCGCCACAATCAAACGACATTTTCAAAAAAAAAAAAAGTTAATTGAACGACGAGTGTATGTGTGTTGTGCATGTGATTTATCTACCTGTGTGTTCCTGTTCATTCACAGTTACAGCGATCGCGAGCGCGTGCACATACACAACAACCAACAAGAGCAGATGAGTTCTGTTATCTAATACAAGCGCCGATACTGGCAAACTCTCGTGACATGCAATTGAAAACAAAAACCAAAATACGGTGTGCTAAAGACGATAGATAAAAAAGCAGCGGCAGCAACAACAACAGCAACATTTGTTATAGTAGAATGATAACCTTCACAACAACAAAGCACGCTTAAACCATCGCATGATTCGATGAATGTATGAATAAATGATTACTACTTAGTAAAAAGACTTACAAATACCATACAACCAAATGTATAAGCCGCCACTCGTCTTTCCTCTACCTGTACCGAAAATCGTATGTTTGTTTTTCATTCTTTCATCATAGTACAGTTTTATTTATCAAATTCATTAATATAATAATCATGTTTTACATAATTTTTTAATTTGTTGTTTTGTCCAACAACAAAAAATACATATATCCATCTATTTTCTCCAAACATCCCTATTCAAAAACCAGAAACATTCGTACAAATTTAATGTTTTTCTAGTGCTTTTGTCAATAAATCATTGATCGATTTGATAAGACTTTGTGCATCATCGATTAGTCGTGCGCCGACCATTGCATTTCCAAACAATTGCTGGATGAGTAGCGCGCTGAGCTCTGGATTTGATTCTTTCAATTGAAATAATTTCTTAATAATTGGATGCTTTGGATTGATTTCGAGCTGTGGCTGCAGAATGGCATAGCGATTCTCTTCGGGAATTTGATGACCTTGTGTGCGAATAAAATGCCGTGCACCGGCCATATTATCAACAGTTACCACACATGGATGCTCCACTAATCGTGTGGTGGCTTTGACACTGGCTACTTTTCCCTCCAATTGTTTCTGAATCCATTCGGATAATTCATTGATTTGTGAACGCTGCAAACTGTCTGGTCCTAAATCGCTTAGATCCGTAGCATCGGTATCCGTTCGCATTTCCTTTTCAACCGATACAATTTCTTTGCCAGCAAACGATTGCAATTGAGATAGAACGAGTTCATCGTATGGTTCATAGCAGAAAAGAACTTCGACATTTTTCGATTTCAATCCCTCAAAATATGGGGAACTTTCGGCCAATTGACGATTTGGTGCGGCCAAATAGTAAATCACCTTTTGATCTGGTTCCATTCGGGCAACGTACTCTGTGAGCGAAATTTTTTGTGTCTTATTTTCCACACGATTCGAATTGAAGCGAAGCAGTTTGGCAATTTCCTCTTTTTCTTTTGCTTCGTACGTTGTGATGATTCCCTCTTTCAAGAACAAATTATATTCCGTGTAGAACTCATCGAATTCCGTTGGCTCCTTTTTGGCACATTCTTGCAAATGACGCAGTATACGTGATGTTAATACGTTTCGCAATTTTGCGATTAATGCGCTGTTTTGTAACAGTTCACGACTCAAATTCAATGGAATGTCCTCGGAATCAACGACTCCCTTGACAAATCGAAGCCATTTTGGCAAGAGCTTGTCGACTTTCGATTGGATTAGAATTTTGCGCGTGTACAATGCAACACCGGCTTCAGTGTGTTGGGACAAATCCATTAAGTTTGGTTTGGATGATGGAATATATAACAGCGCCCGGATACTCAATGGTACATCAGCCTACGAATTACGAATACGATTAATTTATTTTGATAACATCCAAAGATAGGAGAATTTTGGTATTCGACTAAAAATGTTCGGTTCTGTATTGGTCGAATGCCATTTGAGCTAATTTGGAATTGTAAAGTTTAATAAATAAATTCAAAATTTTAGCACATCACTCGAAATGACTGATTTTGAACCACAAATTTTAACACCCAATTACTATTATAATGGCTTGACACTCACTTTGTAGTGAAGAGTGAAACGAGGTTTCATGTATGTGTTTGCAACGAAGCGGTAGAATTCATCATATTGCTCCTTTGTTATTGCCTTTGGATCCATTAGCCAAAGCGGTTGCAATTCATTCACTTGTTCCTTATTCAAATAAACTGGGTGACCAACAAAGTTGCTGTATTTTTTGATCACGGCTGAAATTGACATTCAAAGAAAAAAAAAATTTAAAAAGAAAATTTAAATTCAAAGAAGGAAATAATTTCATCAAAACGATCTTCGTTCTGGATATTTGCATCAAATGGGCATTCTGGCATGTATCACTGAATTTATACCTTTGATTCTCTCATCGTCAGCATATTCACGGCATTCACTTTTCAAGTGCAAAACAATTGTGGTGCCAACATCAACGTTATCGACCCCTTCGATTTCGTAGCTACCAGTACCATCGGATATCCATCTCAATCCCGGTGAACCGATCTTTGATGACCGAGTGAACACTTCCACTCGTTCAGCAACCATACTGTGAAATACAAGAATTCGTAATTTTTAGATTTCTTCTCCTTTTTCTCCGTGCTTCTCTTTCCATGCCCTTTTAAATTTGAGCATTTCATCCAACAAAATTCGCTCAATATTTTGATCTCATTAAAGCAAAGGATAAGAATTCGAAAAAAAAAATCGCAGCAAATTCGACGAAAAATTGCGAAATATTTTGTATTAAGAGCATCACCGAAACTTACAATGCAGAGTAGAAACCAACACCAAATTGACCAATGATATTCGAAGCATTCTCACTTGCGTTGCCAGATTTTTGAATCTCTTCTAAGAAGTGTTTCGATCCACTGCGGGCAATTGTACCCAGATGGCTTATCAATTCCTCTCGAGTCATACCTGGCAATGAAGAAATACGTTGAATTCACAATGAAAAAGATATTTGAAATTGATTAGGTCGAATTTTTCGATTATTTTAGATATTTAGCCGACTTTTGATGAGTGAATCTGGAAGTCTCTGGATATTTTCAGTTCAATCAATTCGGGTTAGCTAGTGACTGATTCTACTAGGACTGTCCTACGTTATTTTTTCCAAAGTCATTGACAATATATAGTAAATTTCAAATGGGTTTCTAGTCAAACCAAACCCGATTTCATTCAAAAGTTATAAATTTTGAATCAAAACACCAATGATCTAAAAGAAAAACTACCTATTCCATTATCTTTGATGGTCAATGTAGATGCTTGCTTGTTGGTTTCCAAATGAATTTCCATTGGTCGGTCAGTGCTTTCATATTTGCTCTGATCATCACCGGCCGTTTGGATTGTATAACGGAATTTTTCCAGAGCATCACTGGCATTTGAAACTAATTCACGAATAAACACCTCATTTTCTGAGTACAATGACCGTGCGACAATGTCCAAGAGCATTCGTGTTTCAGCTTTAAATTCATGCTTATCAACATGCCGTGTGGATGCCTGTTCCGTGCTGGCCGAACTAAAACATCGTACACCCGATTGAATCGCCAAAATTCGTTGACCTGCAAATGATTCAATACCGGTTATTTCAGGGCCAAACTTTATGTTACTGTATTGAAATTAAAGGTTGATGTCTGGATAATTGCAATGGAAAATGCCTCTATGCTAACAAAGATTGCTAAACACTCAAATAAATGGAACTTTTGTCACTGCATTTATTATACTGACCGGAAAATATGCGAGTCTCCTGCAACCGAACACTTCGTGTCAACAGTTTCGATGAGTGCGAATAGAGTGTACGGTTTTGTCGAAGTAAATTGATGAGTCGTAAACTGGTCGCCATTTCGAAGTCGCTTCAATTTGAACGAAATTGAATACCGTTTGAATGATGCCAATCCAAGATTCTTGAACAATTTTAAAAATTGAACGATGATAACAAGCGTGAATGTGTTCACTCACATGTAACCTTCTTAAGTTAACATCTTTTCGGTTTGACGTTTGTAGAAGTCACCGGGTCCCTGACGCAATGCCATCTATGTGCTCAACTCTCAACTACGATGTGCTCCAATTTCATTGATTTTTCTTGATGATTCGCCCAGTCAATGACAATTTTTTGAAATAAAAATTCCGAAATTCAACAAATTATATAATTGAACTGGGTTTAAAAATAATCGAATGAAATTCAAAATGCGTGTCAGCTGTTACCTTGGAATCGGAATACACACATTTTGAACGTTGAACATCCAAGTTTGACAGTTCGATGTTAGTAGCCACAAAACTTAGTGTGACAAGTAAGTTTACTACTTTGCTGCAACGAATACAAACGAATACGTTTTGCGAGGGAGAAAAAAGAATAGCGAACTGCACGTAAATATTGATATTTTATTGCCAAAAAGAAGCTGTGTTTCGTCTTAAATCAAGATAACTTTTCATGAGCATACGATGACGGTGGCCAAAAATGATTTGGACGCGCTCCTCTGCCCAATTATTTATACACATTGTTTTTTGGCTGTGTAACACAAATAGAATATTTGCTGGGGTATTTCAAATCAAACTGTTGACGTCTTTGTTTTCAATTTGGACCGTTCAATGTTTACAGTTTGAGCTACACGATGACCTGCAACGAAACGATTTATCGTTTGTTCACACCGAGTGCATTTTTCAGTTGAAATAAAGAAAGCGGATATTTATGTATACAAACAAAATAAATATACGAAAATAGCAACAGAGAGAGAGAGAGAGAGAGAGAGTGTGTGTGTGTGTGTGTGCAATTGATCTAGAATTGATTTTTGTGTTTTGTTTATGTTGTTGATAATTTGCTTACTTGACAATTCTTTTTTATCTGAATTGTATCGGTCTTCCACATCAGTTTAGATTGTGCCCTTCAATTATTGGGAATCGTGTGTTTTCGGTTGTTGATAACGTTGGTGCACATTGGAAATGGAAATGCAATAACGATAACTCACTTGAAATAGAATTGATACATTATTCTGCATACTTTGTAATCAGTTTCTTTTCAGAAAATTGTCAACTATTTACAAATTACACATTTTTTACACGGATTTCTTCTATCTCTCCGTTTCTAGCGAATGTGGTGTGCTAAAACAGATATCTGTGTCTGAAATTCCATTGAATGTGCAGACTATCGATTCAGTTTGGCTTCGCACGCATATAAATTCAAACGTTTTGGCGTTCAGTTGCTATCGTCGTCGTCGTCGTCGTTATCGTCCCGCACAACAACCGCAACCCGAGAAATTTTTCAACATCGTCAATATCGTTACATCATGACAACCACACCGGGACAACCTATACGACTCAGTGATATCGATGTGCTCGCTCGACCGAATTGCAAAATTAAAGATTCGGAACGTGTCGAACGTATCATCAACGATATTATTTGCGGCGGCAATCGTGAGCTACAGGTGGTCACCGATTTTGACTTCACACTCACCAAACAGAAAACCGACGATGGCAAACCGGTGCTATCTAGCTTTGGAATGTTTAATAAGTGTAAATCGCTGCCAAGTTCATTCTTGGTTGAGTCGAAAAAACTCTACGAAAAATACCGACCCATCGAAATTTGCCCGACAATCACGCACGATGAGAAACGAAAGCATATGATTGACTGGTGGGAGATGTCTGGTGATCTCTTGAAGTAAGTACGAGTTTTTTTTTTGGATTTTGACTTATTTTTCGGGATTTCTCTCATGGAAGAGTCAGAGACAGAGAGAGAGACAGAGAGAGAGAGAGAGAGAGAGAGAGAGAGGAAGATTATCTCATGATTATTGCTTTTTTTCTTTTTTCACAGAGGATTCGCTTTTGATCCAAAAGAAATTGAAGAGTTGGCCAAACAATACAGTCACGCACTGAGAGATGGCGTACACGACCTCTTCAAACTTACGCATGAAATGGATGTTCCTGTGCTGGTATTTTCAGCCGGGCTAGGAGATTCAATAAAAGCCGTTCTTCAACACGAACAAATAATGCTGGCCAATGTTAAGCTGGTATCAAATTTTCTAAAATACCAAAACGGAATGGTCAATGGTTTCTCAGAAGAATATCCACTGATTCATACCTTCAATAAGAACGAAACCGTTCTCGAAGGCACCGAGTATTATGACATGGTTCATAATCGGCAACATGTGATTCTAATGGGGTAAGTTGAATCAATTATACGAAATCGAAATTGAGGTCCACATTCTTAAGCTTGAAGATTGAACTCAAGTTCTAAATTAACATTTCACATGAACTCGAGGTCGAATTTAGTTTTTTTCAGTTTTGCATTTGACACTGACTTTTTCTTTTGATTTTCAGTCTTATTTTTAACATTCAAATCTTTTTTGAGATTGTTTCTCAAATTCAAACAAATTCAAATTCTATTTGGAATTTTTTTTTTTCCTTGAGCTCAAGTTCGCCCTTAAACCCAGAGCTAATATTCTTTTTGTAATTTACAGTGATTCGCTGGCTGATGCCGACATGGCCGAAGGTGTTCCAAAAACGTCGAGCATTCTGAAAATCGGATTTTTATTTGATCACGTGAGTCATTTGCTGAAATTATTTGTAGTCGATTTACCCAAATTGTCTTCACTTAATTCGAAAAATCTTCAACTTATTGAAAAATTTACCAAAATCAGACTGAATATAGAATGATTCGTTCGTAAAAAGTGGAACAAAAAATTGAGTAGAAAAATGTCGTAAGAAAACTTTTCTCCCTTCTCAGTAATTTTTATTCAATCATTCCAAAAAAAATTGCTAAATTCTTCTTATTCTCACGAAAAACTAATCATATATCTTCATTTTCCCATTTTTTTTAGCCGGAGAAAAACCTGCCGAAATACATGGATCGATTTGATATCGTCCTAATGGATGATCAAACGATGGATATTCCACGTGAAATTCTATCATTGGTGAAGCAACAAAACCCGTGATTTAAATTTTTTTTAAATACAACAGCGACGATAGCTACCGAAATAATGAGAATATTTTTTAATTTGTGAGTGGCTGCTCATTCACGCTCAAACTGAAGAAATATATTTTTTTAATTTATTTTTTGAACAATAAAAGACTCGTTTTTTGCGAATATCAACTGTTTGAAATGGATAAAATCAATGTTTTAATTTAAGACAAAGAAACCAAAAATAGAAATTCTCAACTCATTTTAGTATATCACAAAAAAGATTCTCTTTGTATTTTAAGTCGAGAACTTAACGTTTTTAATGTAGACAGTTTTTCTTTAGCTGAAGGAAGGTTATTTTGGGATAAATTTTAAGGCCGTCGAACACTTTCAAACGCTTGTTCGACCGTTCGTTCGAAAAAAAAAAGAACGTTCGAAGCCAACACTAGCCAGATGTTTTGAATGGAGAAGTTCTCCATTGGAGTTGCAATAAGAAAAACATGGAAGATATGAAGAAAATAGGAGAAAAGATGAAAAAAAAAACAAAATGTAAAAAACAAATGACAGACTGCAACTGAAATCAACTAATAAGCGATTTTAGTTTACTGAGCAAATAATTTGTATGAAAAATAGTCGACTAAGATTCAAATTTAGTCAATCGCTTAATGTGGGACGTTTTTGACTGCAGTCAGCTTGTGATTCCAGTTAACTATGATCATTGTTTTTGTACTGAATAATCACTTTTAGCCAGTAAACTCCATATCTTGAGCATACACCTCGTATAAGAACCAAATTTTCTTGTGGCGCCATCTAGATGGCTTGCGGGGCGCAATGTATTTTAAATTGTTAGCTAAGTTTTTTCAGCTTAGTACAGAACCATTTTTGGCAAAGATACAAAAGCATGCTCGAGGTATGGTAAACTCTGTCCGAAAATAATCGGTTGGATGCTCAGTTAAAATATTTCCACACGGGATAAGGAAAATCATGTACAATTTCATGTATGAAATGATTTTATCGTTGTTCATTTCAAGTAGAGTTTATCTTTTTAGCCAGAGTCCGATTTTTAAGCGAAACAAATTTCACAATATCGACGATCTCAAAGACACAAGAAAAATACCGCTAGAATTTACAGTGTGTGTTTTTTTTTTGTTGTCTTCATCCATATTTTATTTCAGTAGTTTCATTCATGTTGTTTGTATACAAATTTTTCAATATAAATAAATTAATACACAAAAGTTTTACCATCATTGTTGAACCATTATTTTCTCTTGCTGTGTGTTGGTGTGTAAGTGTTTGACAATTCAATTGAATTAAGGATGAGCAATTTTGAAAAGGTGTAAGTGTTTAGCTTATAATTGAACTTAATCCAACAATTTTTCTTCATTTTTTCTGTTACAAATTTGAATGTGGCTTTTATCATTAGGTGAATTTTCTCGCAAGAGGTTTTTTGTTGCTATCACTTCTCCCTAATTCATATTTATACAAGTTACAGAACAAAAGTTCCTCTGTTTGAACGAACTTGAACCGAAAAAATCTGTTTGAAAGAAAAAAGCAAGTGCATATCACAACCAAATTGATAATGACTGACTTAAATGAAAACAAATGGAAAAAAAAAATCGAAATCTCTGTTGCTTGCGGCCGTGATGGATTCATTTCGATTTGTTTTTTCTCGATCAAATTTCGGTAAAATAAAAACGTTATTTCCTTTGGAATCAACGGAAAACCGATATTACAAGAGAGAAAGAAACAGAATTTTTCTTCGGTTTTTGAATTAGATGCACCACTAACGCTACAAATATATTGTGTATTTTTTTTTGTTTAATTACTAGATTGTTTTTTCTTCCATTTGATGGCACAATAATTGGAAATATGTTTTTTTTTTGTGTTAATCAGAAGAAAAAAAAGAAGTTCAGAACCATAACGGCTAGGTCGTTTTCACATTTTTTTATACGTGTCTTCCACTTTGATAATAATTTGTGTATGTGCTCTTTGTTTATCCGTTTTGTTTTATCATCGCATCAAAATCGTGTCTGTCTGCCTATTCACTTCACTTACGGCCTGTGCAACTAATTATCAATATCAAATCTAATTATTATCAAATGAAAAACAAAAACCATTTAAATACAAATATCAATCTATGTCTCTAGTCAAATTATCTCTACTCATTCATTCGCCGGATGATTGTTTTGTTGTTGTTCATGTTGCATTGCATCATTCCATTTGCATTCGAACTCACATCATGCTCATGCTCTCTGCATCTCACTCGCTTATCAATTGAAACAGTACATTTTGTACATAAATTAAATAAATATACCCTATTGATTGTGAAATATGAAATGCGTTGTTTTGGTGTATTTATGTGTTTGTGTCTGTGGATTTATGTATTTTCTCGTGTTTGCTCAACGATACATATCTTATGTGTTTTTGTGTGGTGTGGTAGTGATGGTGTGTGTATTTGTTTTGTTTGTTGTTTGATGCTGCTGATACATGTAACGAAACAATTTATATATTAAAGAAGTTCATTAAAATGCTTTTGCGGACACTACGATTATTTGGACTCTATTGTAAGTAATTCGGTTGAAAATGTTTGTGTCTGGTGTATGTGGGTACGACCGTACATTTTACTTCATCATAATCTTCATTGTTGACGCGTGTGTATGTGGTGGTGGTGGTGCTGGTGCTGCTGCTGCTTGTTCTTCTTCTTCTTTTGTTCAATTAATTACAGAATGTGCAGCTGTTTTGCATTCTTTGATTTACGTATTGGATTGCATTTTATTCATATTGTTGTATTTCTTTTTCAGCTGGACTGTGTGGCCTTGGTTTATCTTCTTTTCGACTGAATTTATTGCGGCCTATTTTGTTTCTATTCGGTTGAATCTCATTTGCACTTCGGCTGGATTGCATTAGACCATTCCTTTGGACATCATTCGTACGGTATTTTTTAGCGCTTGACGTTTATTACAGAACCAAATTCGTATCACTTCACGTTCGTAGCCTAATTGATGTGCGAGACCGGTGATTTCCGTCCCTGTTTCCAATGTCGAAGGTAAAAAAAAAACAGACAAAGAAACGAAAATTAGAGAGGGAAAATCGATGGGGAATGTAAAACAGCAGTCAAGCAATAAATATCGTTCATAATTGAAATTGCTCTACCTTTTTGCAAGAAAAACGGAATTTTAAGCATAAAATAATCGGTGATCATGCCTATGTGTGAAATTTTGTGAGTATGCTTTTTGACGACTTATATTTTGATAAAGTACAGTATGTTTTACTTGTGGTTGGTGACAATTTTCATTTTATTGAAGAAAAAAAAACACGTATCGAATCGTTATGTTATCAAAACTTGTTGGTCTTATAAAACTGTACCACTTCGAAAAAGACAATTACCTTCATCGTTATTATTATTTTCAATTATTCTATCTGTTGCAATAAATAAATTTTTCAAGATTTGCTCACCGCTTGAAAACATACTCTACTTATTCTAATACAAAGTTTAAGAAACATACTACACCACTCTCAATTTCACCCATAGATATAGAAACATAACGTCATCTACGAAATCTCAAGTGGACCATATTTCGAAAAGGAAATAAGTATGCTTTTCATTTTCTTTCAAAATCTACTTATTTGAACAAAATAAAATTCCCCTCTTTCAAAAAGATCCTTTAATTTGTTTAAATGATATTAGCTCATATGACCTTTCCATGGAAAAGCTTTTTTACAAGCATTTCTTTTCCAGCGAAGTGATTTATCTTCAGGTCATTTTATCCCAAATGACTCGTTTTATTTGAGATTTTTTTTTTTTGCCTTGATTTGACTCACCTGATGGATGGGTATTTCGTTCAAAGTGAGCATTAAGTAATTCCAGAGCTTGTGGTGTGAATGACGTACGACGTTTCCGTTTTTTCGATGGCTCCACTCCAATGAAGTCAGTCAAATGGCTTTGACCACTCTTATAATGATTCCAGTGCCTATCATTCAAGTAAAGAATACAACAATTACTGCATTTGCATGGAAAACAAGACGTTATAGCATATTCTACGGCAGAAATATATTCAAAGTGATTTTTGTTTCTTTTTGCATTGATAATAATTTGCGTGAATCAAAGAAAATGAATATTTCGACATGCATGTAACACCCTATTAGAGTGATTCTCATGTATTTGGTATTGTTTCATTTTCTTCATACTTGTCTTTGATTTTTTCTTTAATTTTGTCCATTTAATCAATAAATTAATAAATTTTCTCCATATTTTTTTCACTAAGCAGGTGCAAAGTGTGACTTTTTCAGGTGATTCGATTCGAATTTGTAACAAAAAGGGTGGTTTTTTAATTGAAAATAATTTCGACAATTTTTTTCCAAGAGCATGCGTCAAATGAGAAAAAAAAACATCAAAGCCAACAAATGAATTGTATGGTTAACGAAATGTATTTGATTGAATCATCGATGCATGAATTAATAACAAGTTGATATCTAATCTAAATAATTAATTCCATGGATATTCATTACCTTTCTTCGGCTTCTTTCATCCATCGCTCTAAGACAGGTTTGATTTTTTGAGCACTTTTCGGAGTAATATCCAGTTTTTCAAACCTGAAATCAGTGGAGGAATAAAAATTAAATGTTCATTTCAATAATTCACAGAGAAAAGACACATATATGAATGTATAAATCTAAAATTCGACTTAAAAGTGAAAAGGTGACATTTAAAGAAGGTGATTTATTGAAAATGATCTCTATATATTTTAATTGGGTTGGTCGTTAGCTGTGGTGCGTGTCATACGAATAAAGAGAAACAAAAAAAAAGAGAATGAAATTATTACTACCATTCTACAGACGAGACATTGACAAAAAAAGAGACATATCTAAAATCATACTCGCACACCCATTTAACAACAATAAGAAAATGTTCGGCCGAATCACATGTCTCATCGAATGAATAATAAATGCCAGGACATTAGCACATTTAAAAACCATATATTTTTATCTCTCTTTCTCTCTCTCTCTCGCTCAAGTCATTTGGCTTTAAATTTTAATTCAATCAAAAGCAACCAAAAAGAAATTTGTGTAACCAATGAAAATTGTTATGAAATTCTTTTTTCTTTCCATTTCATTTCAATTGCTTCATTTTGTAACATCCAATCAAAAATGAGAATGTGGCAATGCCCTGGCCTTCGGTTTATCTCATATATCAAAAATTTAGTATCCGATTTTTGAATTGTAATGGCAATGTTAATTTCGATTTTTCGATTAAAATTCATAACAAAAATTACTAAACAAAGAAATGACATCTGAATCCAGTCAAAGTTAATTGCAACAAAAAGCACTTGAATTATGGACAATGAAAGCATTCACAACTTGAGTTATTGATATTTAGAAATAGCAACGTATTAAAGATATTTTTTAGTTGCCATAGATTTAGGTAAGAGTGTCATGCTGTTTAAAAATTAAACTAAGCCGATAAATTATGGAGTGGTGGCTGGTGGTTACCGATCTTTCGATCAATACAATGAACTTGAATCAACAAAATTATGTCTGACGTTTAAACCGAAAGGAAAAAAGCAAGAGACAGTGTCGTGCGAAAGTGTCATCGGCTACGATGCAATTAACAAAGAAAGTGTGGAAATTAGATGGAAACACGACAATTGTTCGTGGTCTAGTCCACGGACAGTGAGCTAAATAATCAGAAAATGAGTTTTCTCTCTCTTTTTCAATGAGTGTGTGTGTGTATGTGTGTGTGTGTGTGTGTGGAAAAAGACTCGCGTCAAAGTTAAAATCGATGTTTTCGAACGGCTCTTTCCAAACCACTTATCATCTAATTGCCCAATTATTGAAAACACGTACAAGAATCGGTCTCGCTACGACTGAAACTCGCACTTTTAAGCAACGAATTCTCTACATTTGCCGAAGATTTGAAAAAAAAAATCAAATTCAATTCATCTTTCTAAAAGCTTGAATAAAATCAATCAAATGCATTCTATCAAAAGAAAAAAAAAACTACTCGTGCATTAAAAATGCTCTTGTGCTCATACATACCGAAAACAAAATTAGACCAAAAATAAACACATCTCGTACAAAATAGTTAATGGAAGCATTAAAAATTCAATTACAACGGATAAGATTGGAAAAAGCACAAAATTTAGTTAAAAACCATTTGTTCCAACCGACCGACAGAGTAAAAACGGCCTATCTTTAGATTAGCACTCAATAATGCTATATTTTATGACAATTCGATTCATGTGCCTCGCTAGAGTGGTTTTTTATGTGTGTGTGTATTTTTATTTGAGTGTATCCTAATCTAAAAATGGACAGTTTTCCATCGGAGGGTGAAGTGTATGGGGGTGAGGAGTGGTTTCGTTTTTTTTTTTCGAATTGTGTCTCGATAAAATTTTCACTTATTTTTAGAGAATTTTAAACAACTTTATGATTAACATACATATTCTGCTGTTGCTGCGATGAAAGTTGAGCTGCATACATCTGTGCGGCCAGAGCACTACTCATTCAAATAATTTAGTTTCCGAATTGGGTTTTTTTTTCGTTTGTTCGAGCGTTCGTTCGTACATTCGTTTGTTTCATGTTTTGTTTGTAATGAAATTTTTGCGTAATTTTTTTTTTTTCATTTTCATTTTGGATTCATGGGATTGAGGTGGTTGTCGGATTTTTTTATTTCAATATTTTGCATGTCAACGGAATTTCAAAGCAACCACGGTCATGTCGTTGTTTTTGTCACATTTCATTTGTGGTTGCAATTTTGTATTATTTTTTTTTCATGGGAATAGAAGACAATAAAAAATATAGATGAACACAAAGAAACAAAAATATTCTTGAATGATTTGTTGTTGTTTTTTTTCTTTCTTCTCTTTCTCTCACAAAATCAAAACAAAACTGAAAAGCAGAGTTTCATTAGATTGAAAATAGAAAATTGGACCGCACATTCTATTTGAGCCTCAGCAGAGATGGAACAAAGCAAAAAAAAAAAAATTCGCGCTATTCAATTTTCCAACTGAAATATAAGGATTTAGTTATTCCAACTGAAATTGAAGGATGAAGTTGGTGTTGGCCAAAAAAAAGAGAAATACATGACAGAATGTCCTGGCACAAATGGACACATGATGTTTGGGATTTGGGATAAAATCTCCATTTCTGCCACTCACAATTTGAATCGCAGTTGTTCACATGCAATTTTTTTTTTCGTCGCCCATTTCAAATGGGCCATTTGGCGCTATTTCAATATCGAAGCTCGAAATCGATGATAATTGTCACACTTCGTGACAAACGGAAAGTAATTACGTGTTTGGCAAACATTGTTTGCAACATTTGCCGTGAATAAATCAAAAAAAACATTTCACACTTGCGCCCAAACAAGACTGACCTTATTCGGCATAGTCTGTGCCCATGTATCGAAAATGAAACTAATTCGTTCACAATTAAGCTATTTGACACAAATTATTATTTTTAGCATCTCGAAATTGTTGGTATTCGGAAGAGCCGAAGATCCCATGGGACAATCAAATACAATTTGTTCATTTTAGATGACCATTCGATTTGGACTTTAAATAAACCGCATGATGTTCAATTTTCGATTTGAAAATAGAATCAATTTCGATCGAAGTGTATCGTGCCTAAACCTTGGGTTCGGATTTTTGAAAATTTTACTTTTGATTGAAACTTAATCGTTTTTACCATCGAAACAATTTATCTTATCTTGAAATCTTATCATTATTTCGCGCAATGCAGTTTTCCCCTTTGGCCACACATTATCGTGTGGGCAATGAGTGAGTATTGAGAAACACATTGAGTATACTGTACGTTTACAACTCATTCATGAGAAGTAATAAAAATGAGCGCCTAATCATCTGCAAATTGAGGCAAGAATGGGCCAATTTTGAGACAAGAATAGCCCGTTCATTCAGTTTAATCAAACGAAGAGTTTTTTCTTCGATCTCTCTCCCTTAAGAAATCTGCTTCATTATTATTATTATGATCATCATTTTTGTTTTTTGTTTTTTTTTTTTTTAATAAAGAGAGATGAAGAAAATGGATCGAAAGAAGGAGGAAAAAAACACAACCAAACAGAATAAAAAAATGTAATAGAAATGACAAACCTGCATATGGCACTTTGGCTATAGGCCGGACCCTCGGTAACTGATAATGCTTGGCCGACTTGTGTTTGTGTTAAACCTAATGACAAACGTCGTAATTTAAATGCTTTGGCAAACTCTTTAATTTCATCTAAATCAATTCCGTCGACTACGTTGCAATTGGTTTGATTGATTGTTGGTTCATCTGCAAAATAGAAATGGAACACATCATATACACATGCAAAAAAAAACGCCCAGTAAATTTTGTACATCGTGCGAGATGTGAATCGCGCATCGAATCATAAAAATCAAATCATATATATCATGTACGATGTAATGGGTTTTCTCTCTCTCTCTCTCTCTCTCTCTCAAGTGTCGAGAATTAGTGAGTGAAATTCCGAATAAAACGATCATTAAAACCCCATTCAAAAGTGTATATTGATTGTCGTTCCTCTGGCAACGCTTTTTGAAGTCATAAAAACACTGAAATTGTGGTATTCTTAGAATGTTTTATATGGGTAATTTATTAATAAAAATTCTTTTCAAACTCCAAAAAACACAACAACGACATCACGAACACAATGGAGTGAAAAGCCACGATAATTGAATCAATTGATTTTATATGTTTGTTTTCTTCGTTCTTTGGTTTCAATGCGTTTTATGCATTCAAAGTGAATGCGAACATTAAATTGTTGGTCTGCTCTGGTATGCATTATATGTGTCTATGGCACTTGCTGAATGCCACAGCTCTTGGTTTTGTCATTTGCAAACTTTCTTAGAAAATTGGAAATGCTCGTGAACTCAAATCAAATTCCTCAATATCACATCAAAACATAATTTCCGTGTGCCCGATAGATATTAGTGTATAAAACTTGCCTGTTGAGACTCGATGAATTCTTAATTGAGGTAAAAATGTCGATTTTACTCTTATTTAAACTAATTTCATGACAACAACTCTTTGCCAGAGTATTTGATATCGGAGAAAAGCTATGCTTGTCCGTCGTTAATTTGACGTTCATAGCCTACGTTGACACGGCATAAGGAACAACACACTCAGAGTGTGTGTGTGTGTGTGTGTGTGTCTGACCTAATGATCTACATATATACGAAGAATATATAAAGAAAAAAAAAGAAAGACTCACTCGGCGATTCATCGTCTGGTGTTTCAGTGACCGTTGGTGGTGTTGTCACCGTCGATGACGATTGATGGTGCGAATGATGGTTTTTGTGATGTGACGACAGGATACGATGCGATTGATGGTGATGCGAATGGGAATGTGCACTTTTCGACGAACTTGTCGAATTGGATGAAGGCTGTGGCGGGGGCGGCAATCCTTGTGATTTTGTTATTGTCAACTCACCATTCGATGTTGTTAATCTGAAAAAATATTTTTTTCATCGAAATTTGAAATTAAGTCACAAAAATATGTTGAAAATCCTTTTGACTTTTCAAAAAACTAAGACTTCTTTAGACGTAGCGTCAACAAATCAAAATACCGAACAAAGTCGAAGTTGTTAACAAAAGTCGAAAGAAATGTGTGTAAAACCAGTTTCATACCTATTTATGCTGTTAATGGCAATATTTGGTGAATGTTCACGATGGTGACTAATACTATTTCCTGAGCTCGTAGTACTGCTGCAACTGCCAATAACTAAACTATTGCTTGCAATGGACCTATCGCTGTTGTTATTATTATTGTTGTTGTTGTTGTTATCGTTACTACTAAATGCTATGGGGACGTCGTTGCCTTCTGTGGTGAGAAAGAAAAATTGTAAAGATTTTTTTTTTATTTTGAGTGAAATTGATTGGGATTGTGTTTTTAAAGTTTATTAATGATTAATCCGATTAGTCATAAACACACACTTTATACCGTTTAATGTGGTTGCAGTTATGATAACTGCTCGACATTCGCGCATTCATCAAACTAATATTTCCAATGAAACTTATTCAAATGAGTTCAATTATTTGCTGATTAAACGGTTTAATATTCATTGGAGAGCTATTGAAAAGCAATTGAGCAAGTTTTTTCGTCAAATAAACTTGAAAATCGTTCAGAAGACTTTTTCAAATGAAAAAAAAAAAATTAAAATCAAAATGTCAATGAATTTCGAATGAATCCATTTCAAAAGAATTCGAGTAATGAAAAAGATGGAAAAAATCTAAGCGGTTCATATGAGAGGGGAAAGCAAAAAAGACACGAAAAGGCATTGGCTAAAAAAAAATAGCAAAAACTTTCACTATAAAAACATAACAAAAGACTAACCTCGCTGCTGAGTTTGTTGATTCGAAAGGTTATGAGGTGATGTTGTCGTTCTGAGTTTTTGTACGTCGCCATTTGTTGCGAATTGCGATAAAGGTGATGTAGCTGGCATAATTTGGTGTTGATGTTGCGATGTACTGCTGCCACCCGACACAACGGTTGATGCTGAAGACTGATTGGTTGATACCTCTCTGAAATACGCACGGACATCAATTGAGTATCTCATTTTATTTATTGGATTTACAATCTAATTCCGGCTCAAGTTTACTTTAATTTTCGTTACGAATTGATAATATTTTCCCAAAAATCTGCTGCTCGCACGAACTTACCGATTTTCAAAGTGTGAATTCCGAATAGGACTGTGTTTCGGTGTATGAGCCCGAATATTAGTGGTGTCATTGGCACATGTTTGCAAATAATTTGGACTGGGACTGTTGGTTGACATTGAATGGCGTCGATGATGGCTGGTCTGTTGTTCACGCAAATCGAAGAGATTCGGTTGGATAGCGGCCAATAATTCTTGCACACCGGATGAAAAGAGGTTTGTATTCAACGGACCTAAAAAAAAAGAGACACATTTCATTCACGCCAAAAAATGACAAGGCATTAGATTGGTTTTGAAATTCTATTTCAAATGAATCAATTTAACGTGTTAAAAGCCCAAGCTTTCAATCATTTCTATTTCTACTATTGCGCAAACATAATGCAGCCCGTGTCATTCATAACGGTCTTTTTCGTTGTCATTTACTCGAGCAAGTCGACACATTTCGATGCTTCAAAATGAACCTAACGTGCGATTCATCTGTGCTCAGTAGAGCGGTGCGAACGTGAACAGAACACACCACAATTCAAGGTTTGTTTAAACATTCGAGCATGCTTCCGAGCATTTATTTTATTAATCTACTAATTATTTGAGGCATTTATAAATTATTTACAAATTTGGCATTATGAATATTGCAAAAGAAATTAAAAGTTCACACGCAAATATTTGTTAAACACGAAACTTTAAGCGCTCAATTACACTATACATCTAACTCTCTAGTATTTTGTTTTTTTTTTCTCTTCGTTTCACATTGTTGTTGTCATTTGTTGTGTCAATTTTGAACGATAATTAGCCTCAATTCCACTATCGTTTCACATAAAAACAAACAGAATATTGGTTCGGTTGCCACCAAAACTTGATGTACACATTAGATATCCAATGGCTGTAATTTTCTTTTCTCTCTCTCTCTCTGCCCCATTCTCATTTGGCGCCGTGTTTGCCTCTTTATTTGTTATCCGAGTTGTGTGTAAATGTTCAAGAGGAAAATTCCTAATGAATTTAAACATTATTTCCTTTGCATTTGCAAAGCATTCAACACACATACACGAATCGTACTGCTTTCAATAAGCTCCATTACACATACATAAACGAGAAAAAAAAGGAACAACAACAAACTCGATAAAAAGCGCTGAAGCAAGCAATTGAATTTTATTCAATTTTCTTTAATTTGTGAATGTGGTGTACTGTAATTACCGCATACACGTTTTGTTCGAACGATTGGTAATTATTGAGTGCACGAAAGGAACATCAAACAAACTCATTTACATGTTTTTTTTTCGTTCCTCTTTCGGGATCATTTTTGATAATTTATCACTGGATTTTATTCCATGTTCATTTTGTTCTCTCTCTCTCTCTTTCTCTCTCTATCTCTACCTCCCTTTCCCTTCATGGGAGGCTATTTATGTTTGCTTATTTTGCGACATTAAACGACAAAAATGGTCTCGTTGCAACTCTTTCAACAATTTTATGATATTCAAACGGTTTGACAGAAAGTGTGCTAGGTTTATGTGTACCTTGTTGGGTTTTCTGTGGCTGTTGTGACTGTTGAGCAAGTAATGTGGGCGAACCCAGTAGATTTGGCATTTGATGAGACGATTGTTGTTGCTGTTGCTGCTGTTGCTGCTGTTGCTGCTTCTGATGCTGATGCACTTGTTGATTTGTTGGGCAGTTATTTAAGGCAGCCAAAGTTTGAGCCAATTGCTCATTTGAGCTCACTTGCTGACTCACCGGTATCGTTAAAATCGTTTGCGTTGAAATGCCTTTTGGCGAAAAATTCGAATGAATTTTCGGAAATACAAGCAACGCAACAAGCACGAAATGATTTTAGAAAGAATGAAAAAAAAAGTGCGAAAGCCTAAGCTTACCTGATGGTGATGGTATCAAAAGCTGTGCCACTTGCACACCTTGCATCAATTGACCACCCTGGAAATGGGGTAAAATTGAAATAAACGTTTTCTTAGAGACAAAAAAGTAATTCCGAGTTTCAACCATAGTTTTCTTGAGTGAGAATACGGTGTGAAAAAGTCACCGCTAGTGTTTGATGTCTAATTTGTAAAAGAGGTCTTTTACTCTAATAAAATCTAAATAAAATCTCATCATTTCTCCTTTTTTTTATGAAAGATGATCGAAAAAAATTAAGCGAAAAATGCCATCGGGTCATTCTGAACTCATTCAATGACTCATTTGTTCAATTTTTTCTTTAAAAATAATGGGTTTGATCACTTGTCGATTAGATCACACTTCTTCAAAAACAATCATTTGTTCTCGCTAATTTTCTTCAACAAATCAATAGAGAAAAAAGAAAGGAAATGTTTAAAAAAAATTCCTCTTACCGATGCCAAAATAAGCTGAGGCATTTGTGGTGAATAGTTGTCAGCTGATGCGCCGCATAGATTTTTCGCCAGCTCGGAAGCTATTGATGTGCTGCAGTTGGTGTTCATTTGACTTGGATCGGTGTGAGACGATGAGCTTAAGCTGAGATTGAGTGGTGAATTCAAGCACGTCGATGCTGATGACAATCCGGCCAATCCAACAAATGACAGCTTTTGTTGTTGCAACGATGCCAAATTTTGTAAATTTTGAAAATTCAACATCTTTTGCACTGCAAACAAAGAGAATCCAATGTTCATGGATTAAAATACTGAATCGATTGGAGGTATTTGTGTTTAGGTAGATAATTTCGAACGATATATGTACTCACTAGTTCCATTAATATGGGCAACGGCAGCCGATGATAGTTTGAGACGAGCATCTTTCATTTCCGGCGTTAAGCGATCGGCTGATGCCGAATTGGCAGCCACAGCTGCTGCTGCTGCTGCAGCCGCCAAAGCATTTTGACTATTCAAAAGGTTTGCCACATCCTACAATTGCGATTTGTGTTTTGGGATATGAAAAACAATTTTGGTTTAATCAGAAAATGATTGATTTCAAACGATTTAAGCTTTAACTTTGATAGAAAATATAATTAATATTATTATAATTTGGTCTTTTGGTTTTCATCTTGCACTTATTATTCTGGTAACCGCAATTTTTGATTATTTCATAAACATTTCGATATCAATTTTAGCTATCACTCTTTTGATATCAACTGAGGAATATTGGCAATTGCAAATGGCAACTTTTACAAAGAAATCAGAAGATTTGACACTGAAAATTACCTGTGACTGTTCAAGAATATTGGGCTCGGCATCATCGTGAATGATATCATCGTCGGTGGTTTGTTCGATGCATTTTCCCTCCGACGAATTGCTAGCCACTTTGGCTTGCTCATCCATTCGAAGATGTGGATCCTGTTCACTGTCTAATATTTGCATCGGTGATAAACTCTCACATTTTACATAACCATGGCCAGAGACCTACGAAAACAAAGCAAATAAAAAATATTAAAAATCAATTTTTCAAAAGAAGCCAGTTGCTGAAACAAAAAGTTGAATCCAGATTGTGAAAATCAACAAAAAATTTCAAGTCTGCATCAAATGAACGGACTAGTTTCTATCGATTAAAATCGTCGGACCTTTTCAAAAATACGAAAAAAAAATCACCATTTTTTATCCAAATTTTGGCAGATTTATTTACGAATCGACCATAAGTGCTTCGAACGAAAACTAAAGCAATTAATCCAAATCGTGTCACGATTTGTATTTATTTTTTTTTTGAACGCTAATTGTACAACGATTGTATTTGATGAATCAAATCAATGATAGTTAAAAATGTCTCTCCCTTGATCTCAGCGAATTTGTGCAAATCAAAAACCAAAAAAAAAACTTTTCTATCCGAAAACAAATCACTGGCTCCAAATCACATTAGTATTCAAACAAGTTGGACAAATGTCATTGATTTCGAAGTGAAATCGAAATTCAAGTGCAATGCATTTGGCATGTGATGAACCGAAAGGATAGATTAATCAAAGCCAACGACGACGATTGTGCAAAAAATTGTCCAATTGACAGGCGCTCTAATTGGGAATTGAACTTTTCATGTGACTCATTTGTTAATGGATCAATTTCCAATTGAAAGTTGTCGATTAATTTTATTCGGATCCATTTTAATTAAAAAACAAAAACCCCAAAAGTAAAAAAGACACAGACTGCGGCAAACAAAAGGCAGCGGAAAACGTGTGATTATTGAAAATATTGATATATTGGTTGCTCATTATGGAGTGGGTATTCAAAGATATATATTCCTGCCGATAAAATTACCTCGATAAAATAAGAGGCACTAACAACAAAAACAATGGCAACAACAAAAGGTTTGTCATTTATAATTATTAATATATATTATTATGTGCATAACAACGGGCAATTGTATTACTTTCGATTAAAATAGCAATTCAGAGAGGTGAAAAATGTGCATGTGTTCTGTTTTTTTTTTCAGTTTGAGGCATGAAAATGTGGCGCGAAATATTTGTATGGAAATTTCGTTGCTCAAAAGTCGACCGATGCGAGAGAGAGAAAGAGAAAAAAAACCGACATACACGTGTGCATAAAAGGAAACAACAAAAGTAGCATCAAAGCAGGGTGTTAATGCGTTCATTCCATTGTTGTATGTATTGTTTTCTCAAACGTTTTGAATGTTTTCTCTGGTCTCTCTTTTTTATCTCTTCTCTTCTTTGAATGGGGCGGATTTATTCTCACACAAAACCCAACATAAAGTGGAAGTAAATCGAATGAACGGTTAAAAAGCAATGGCAGCAACAGCACCACCAACAACGACTATGACGTTTTTATTTTTGCTACTTTGAAAGATGATTCATTAGGTTTTACCTCATTTAAGCTCAATTACATGTGTCTCAAACACATACAGTGCGCTCGCATCGCGCCGCACTGTGTTCACTTCATTCATTGCACGTAATGCAAACCAAAATTATATTATTTTAAATAATTATATGTGAAAATCTCTGTTTTTCTCTCTCTCTCTCTCTCTCTCTTTAAAATTGCGAGACCGTAAATCTGTGCTTGCACGCTCGTTCCGCACTTCCCCCGCCCCTTCAGTTCGCTCCACTTCATTGTGTATATGTGCGAGTGTGTGAATTGGCTGGTGTTAAATTCCTGGTTAACCTATTAATGTACAGCTTTTGACATTAAAGGCAATCCCATTAAAATAATAAATAAAAGACGCCAACCGTAAATATTAACCCAAACAACAAGAAACGGGAAAAATATGTAATGTGTTTGTGTTTAAAATTTGTCGGCGACCTCTCACTCTCCCTTGCTCGCTCGTTTGCTTGCTTTCACGTTCAATCTCCCGGCTAAGCTAAGAACATAGCAGCAGCAGTAGTAGTTCCAACAAACGCACCGAACTTTTCTGTCTCATTTAACTGAACTCACACCCGCAGCACCCACTTTTTATCTTTCCTGTGGTGGTGGATCCTGCTTTCAGACAGCAGCACCACTATAATGCCAGCCGCATATGGACGGAAAAAAGTAGCGACGACTTTAGCAGAGCAATCAAACTTAGGGTGCACCAAACTGGGTTTTTGTGTTTTGAAAAGCTTATCGACAAACACACACTCGCACTCGCACACGTACACCCAAGTCAAACCAGGTTATGGCATTCTCAATGGGTTTCTCGTCTCATTGTTTGCATTTGGGAAAGTGCAACGTGATTTAAGCGCATGTAACAGTATCAAATAGAGTATGATGAGTTGGATGTTGGCACACCGTTTGGCTACACATTTTAAGACACCCTACGAATCGAGAGAAAGACAGACTCAAATGTGTTTTCGGGTTCGATGTTAAACGACGAACCACACACAAGCCATTTTTTGTGCGGGTCACACGCTTGCTCATTTTTTCGCTCGCTCTCTCTCTCACTCTCTCTCTCTCTCTCTCCCATTTTCGTTTCGAGTAAAATATGTGGAAACGAAACAAAATAAAAGGGGGTATCCAACTGTGAGACATTCGGTGTGCTGTGTAAACGAAAAGACGGAAAACTGAAAGGAAAATTCGCATCCGCTCGAAAGAACTTTAACGCTGGCAACTTGTTGCGCGTTCGCGTTGCAAGCAATTTTGCTGTTGCTGCCGCCTGCCACCACCACCGTTCTCTCCCCGGATAATGCCGAAATGATGAGGTGGTGAGTTTATTACTGTGTGTTTAATGTATATGTTTCACAATTTTATAGAGCAAATATCTGATTACACTGAAATGGTTTCGCAAAGAAGTGTGCCTCGTTTGCTTGCTCGTTCTTCGCTACACGGCTCTTTTTTGTGTGCCTCGTCCGTTGTTTGTTTGTGTGGCTCACCGCCTCGAGTGTTTGGAAAACACAATAGCGACAGCAACAACCATGCAGAAAAAAAAAACATAATTCGCATTTTCACCCGATTTTTAAATGACTTGTACATCAAGACAAACACCAAAACCCGTACCACCACTGCCACTCAAGTGTGATGCCAAAATATTCAAATGTCTACATTTATTTGGATTATTATCATTTTTATTTCATTTACAATTTGTTAAGAGCATTATTTGTTGGCAACCGTTCTTTTTTGCTCCATCAAATGATATAAATGATTGTTGTGTTGTGGCTGGGCACCAATTGTGAGCTGCAATTTTTATAAGTGTCGCAAAAATTTAAATATTATCGACACTAACACAGCTGCAATTTTTAAATCAAACGAACGAATTATAATGCAATTTTGCCGAGATGTGGGGGAGAGAGAAGAGGACAATTTTACCGTTAGATCTGCATTGAAAAGCCGTAAATGTCAATGGAAATGGTAAATGGCACTTTTTAAAGCGGTTGTTCAAATGAATCTTATCATCATGAATTCATGAAATTCAAACTATTAAATCATCAAATCATAAAGTGAATAAATAAAGTCCATTTAAATAGACCTTTTGTTTAATTGATGGGCTCACATATTTTAGACAAATTCACATGAAATGAATGTATAAAGCTGAAAAAATGAATTTTGAAATGGCCCGGAAAATGATACGGAAATTTATCTTTCTTTTTTCCTTCATAGGATTCATTGAATTGAATTTAGAGCTTTTTTAAGCTGACAATTCACAAATGACCGGAAATTTCAAATAAAACTGAAACAGGATTTGAGAGGTGAGTGCAAAATATGCGAAATGTCACCCCTTTTTTCTTTTCAAAATCAACGATTTTTCAAAATGGTATTCAAAATGATGGGTTTTTGCGATAAAATGAGATATCGCAAAAGATAAAATAAGCAAAACGGAACGAAAATTTAGGTTTGAAGCATAAAAAATTGCGATTCAAACACAAGATTAAACTCGACCGATCAAAATTAACAGATTTCGTCACAACTTTTACCAGATTGTTGGTTGTGAAGATTTTTCAGTGGATGAAGGTTGTTCTTAGATGTTATGACGCCTGGACGATTACAGTTTGTTCAAAAGCACCAAGTGAGTTGATCAAAAACACCAACTGAAGTTGATCAAACTGAACCAATTAGCGAAAATCATTCAAAATACAATCATAGAAATCGTAGTGAATTCCATGAATTTGAACGATTCCAAGATTAAAATTTATCGATTCAAACTGGCAAAACGTATGAAATGACAAAAATAGTTTGATAAACTGGTGGAAAACAACCCATGACACTAAATTGATCGCCAACAAATAAAAAACTACCGAAAAAAATGCAACGAGTTTCTCAAATGGTAGTTTATGAATCGAACTGGGAAAAATCGACAATAAATTGAAATAGTGTGCGAAAGGGAAATGGTGAAATGGAATGGCGGCCCAAAAGAAAAAAACGCGAACGCAAAAAAAAATTGGAAATTGCCAAATGAAATTCCGTGGAAAATGAGTATCGGGATCATATGGAATAGTTATGGGCATGTTATGTGTGCAAATGAAATATTTATGTTTGAAACGCAGCTCACAGCTTAACGTCCATATAAGTGTATAAAATTGTCTTGTTCTTTTTTTTGTTCGTCGTCTGAATGGAGTGTGTGTGTGTGTGTGCGTGTGTTGTGTTTTGGTTTCGGGCCGTCGATCGTTGCGTATTCGTATTCCCTGGCCCATTATGAGCATGCTTCGATCGCCCGCCCTTCGCCATTCCTCCTCCTTTTATCGCTCGCTCGTTCTCTCTCTCTCTCTCTCTCTCCCTTTCTGTCTGTGTCCCCGTGCGCGCGTGCACATCTTCACTCTCTCATACGCGCAAACTGAGATATAGAATCCCATTCATATGCATATTTAGTACTGAAAAATGTACGTTTCCTATTGATTTCCAATTTATCTTTTTGATTTATATCGTAGCAGGCTTGCAAAACTCATTCCATTGGGGCGATGAGAGAGAGCGCAGAAAAAAAAATATCTCTCATTCATTGGGCGCGTGTTTGCATTCCTCATTCCTCGGTATTTAAATGGTCGTGTGCGGGCGCG